CCCCCCCCCCAATTGTGATTCACAGCTCTACCCACTCAACCCACAAACTAACGACCTCGCTCTGGCCGTTCTAGATCATCGACGACCTCAAAGCCAACCTGACGGACCCCTCGCTCCCGTTCGGCGTGGACCTGGCGCTCCCGCAGGTGGGCGGATCCGCGCGCAAGACGAACCACGACTACACGCACGGGCAGCTGGACGAGCTGATCGAGGTGACGATCCGGAACGGGGCCAAGATCTTCGTGAGCGCGGTCGGGGTGCCGCCCGCGCGGACGATCAAGCGGCTGCACGAGGCGGGGATCCTGGTGATGAACATGGTGGGCGCGCCCAAGCACGCGGAGAAGGCGCTGCAGGCGGGCGTGGACATTGTGTGCGCGCAGGGCACCGAGGGCGGCGGGCACACGGGCGACATCGCCAACAGCATCCTCATCCCCGCGGTGTGCGACGTGGCGAAGAGGTACCGGTCGCCGCTGACGGGGGAGCCCGCGCTGGTGGTCGCCGCGGGGGGCATCTACGACGGGCGCAGCCTGGCCAGCTCGCTGATGCAGGGCGCCGTGGGCGTGTGGGTGGGCACGCGCTTCGTGGCCGCCGAGGAGAGCGGCGCCAGCCGCCTGCACAAGGAGGCCGTGGTCAGCGCGGGCTTCACCGACACGCTGCGCACCCTCGTCGTCTCCGGCCGGCCCCTGCGCGTCCGCCTCAACGACTACGTCGCCAAATGGGAGGCCCAGCCCGAGCGCATCCGCGAGCTCACCGACAAGGGCATCGTGCCCATGGCCTACGACCTCGAGCAGGAGGCCGACATCGACATGCCCTTCCTCATGGGCCAGGTCAGCGCCATCATCAAGGACATCAAGCCCGCCAGGGAGATTGTCGAGGAAATGGTCACCCAGGCCGTCGACATGTTGAAGCTCGGCGGCACATACATCGAGGCCGGCCCCAGGAGTAGATTGTGATCCGACATGTGAGGACGTATGGGGGTGGTCGCGTTTGAGTTGGCATCGGAGCCAGTGTAGCTGAAACAAACATGTCAAAGCGAGATCACACTGACAGGGAAATGTGTTGGATGGGGACATCGATGGGAAAAATACCACGGGCTCACGTTGTCAATATCCATGTCGATCGAACGAAAAACGCTTCATGGGCATTAGCTACCAACCAGTCCCGCTCGCTGAATCCTTCCGTGACCCCTACCTATGTACGCCGTCATTATCATCTGTCACACTGTCGAAATAACGAGTTGCCTGTTGGTTTTGGTCTCGCCTTTTGTGGTCCCATGCCCCATAATCTATACTCCCAATATCGTATACAATTGAACACAGCGATTGACTGGTCTTGGTAAGAATGGATGGTTCTCGTCCCTTTTTCATCTTGAAATCTTGCCGCGGTGCCACGAGTACTGGCCAACACGATCAACCGATCTGCGAAGTCGAGTTGTTGCCCTTGTACACCGTTCCATGGACCTTAACACTGACACCGACGGCAATTCCCACAGCAGCTCCAATGATGAGCAACCCAATGAGAATCTTGATCAGCAGGCGTTGGCGTGCGGGCAACCGAGTGAACCAAACGCATCCTCTCTGCTTCGGTTTTGTCATGCACTGCTTCTCTCTCTTCCAAAACTTGAACCTCTCCCGAACTGCCGAACTCTGTGCATCTTTCTTCTCTTGAGTAATTGACGGTGAAAGGTTGAACGTGCCGGCCTCGAGGTCTTGGACAGCAACTTCGACGGGGTTGCCGGGCTTTTTCACGTCAAAGGACGGTCGGGGGGAGTCATGGTTGTAGAGGTAGAAAGGGGAGGTAACTTTGGCATTGCAGCAGGGATCGAATTCCGACTTGGGTCGTTGGAGTGAAGCGGGAGGTTGCTGCTCAGTGAGCTCCGTGGCTTCGGCTGTGGTGGTCATGGTTGCGTATTCCAGTCTGGAGTGATAGAGGTGCCGATGCAAACCTGAAGAGGTGCCGGGAGGTAGAGATGTGGTCGGTGAAGCCAATGCTCCTGAAGGAAAATAACTGTAAAGTGCCTAAGGGCGGAGGTGAGCGTTTCAAAAGCCCATGTTGACCCGAAAGTGTCAAGTCGGTGAGGATGTCTCGGGTAACGAGGGGGAATATTGCGGTGTTTGGGAGAAAGGGAGTGCGGTGATCAAGGCAGGCTCAGGTGCCAGCTGTCATCTGCCAAAGAGACTTCTCGAGGCAGGGCAGGAGCGTTGGCTGGTGATGTCAAGATGCTCCGTCAAGTACGTGTACAGAGGACGAGAAGTCGTAGGAGTTGGCGCAGAGAGGCGGGCTCTGGGGGTGCGTCTTCCAGCTGAGTTTCACCTGTCACTCTTTCACATGGCCGCATGGGGAACCTACGGGGCAATATATTGATTGGGGCGCCATGGGCCTGACTCTGGTCCCCAGATGAGGTGTTTGCTTCATCAGCCCACCGATTGGAGCTGGATCCGAGGGCAATCAAAGGTGACCAGGCTGTGTGCAGCTTTGACTGGGCAAACATGGGGAAGGCTGGTCCTGGCGATCAACAAACCGACGCCACACGCTGTTCCCCGTTGACACTAAGGACGCCGCCACTCGCTAGTCTCGCTAGTGTCGCTAGAACTGCCAGTCTTGCTAGCCTCCTCTCATGTGTACCTGTCTAACCGCATCTAGTCGTCTACCGGTCTGGGTCACGTGTATTGGCCGGGGCTGGCCCGCAGAGCTTGGTGTTTGTTATTGCCTTTTGCATGCTTTCCATTTTCGTCTCCAAGTGTCGGAATCATGGACGGCTTGAGCGACATGCTGGACTCGGGCCTGATAGACGATGGTCTGATGGCCCAATGGGCCGAAATGATCCCTCGACACAGGACGACGTCAAGAGCCCGGCCTATGGCTGGTCGCGGTCGCGGTCGTGGGAATCAGTAAAGCATGGGTCCACCCTGCGCTCGTGAGGCAGGTGGATGGAGGACATCGTGAGATTCATGTGCATGACACAGAATGAGATGCCTCGGTCTGTTCTGGAGACGAAGATGGAGATGGAAATGCAATGCAGGTGTGCTGGGGCTAGGACATTGGCTCGGGCAAGAATCGGTTGGTGGGATTGAACCAACAGACACCATAGAAGACCAAGTTCATAGACAATAGAACTTGTATTCTCAATAACATATCCGTCTTCCCAGCCACGCTGCTACTGAACGCAAAATCATGTCCGCTGGTGCATCGCTAGACCTCATCCCAGAGCATGCGATGATCCTTGCTGCTGACTGAGAAGTCGACGAGATGAGCTAGCTCACGTCCCGGTCTTGTTGTATTGTTGCAAATGACCGACGACTTCATGTGCCAGATCCTCCAACTTGAGTCGACGTGTCACGCAGATGCTCCTGGTAAGCGTGTTCGGCAAGCCCCTGACGATCCACGAGTGAGGAGATCGTGACAATAATCAACCTGCTGCATTGCTCTTGTATGTCTAATGTGTCTGCAATGAAACCCAAGCACCTTTCAATGTTGTGAAGTAAGCTCATGTCCATGCGAATTTTCTCCCGATGCCCACGCACATTCGTGATCGTCTCCTGCAAGTTGTCGAGAAAGCCCTGTCCGTCCTTTTCCAGATGCTGCGGAACACTGGATGCGGTATATCACTGCCTCACGTCCACAAGCTCTTGCTCCATGTCTTCGCATTTCCACCTGGAGGGCTGCCAGTTCGTCCTTGACCCCGGAATTTCCTGCTTGGAACTTTGCATTTCCCCTGGCGTGGGAGTTCCTCGGCCAGCGGAAACCTGGGGGATTTGTTAGGTTTGCATTTGGTCGCTCTGACCCTTGGCTTGTTGTTGGACGGTTCGCCTCAGATTCTGCTGGCCACAACTTGGAGGAGCCCCCTGGTGTGGGAGTTCTTTCGTGCCCAGAGAATTCGTGGGGTCTGGGATCCCTCCAATTTTCTGGCAGCGAGAGCGTGAAGAAGAAGAGAGTGAGCCTGGGACTCCAATAAACAACAGAAGAGTCGCACTGCATATGTCTTGGGACCGTTCTTCGACACGCTAGAGCGCGTCATGGCTTGGCAAAAGCTTAGCGTGCTTGTGCGCAATGACGTAATCGGGTCCGTTCACCTTTTTCCCGAAATCCCTGCGGCGCTGATTGACCGATTACGTGGCTGTGAGATCGCAGACCAGATCTTTTGACGAGATGCTTGCATCTTATTCCCAGTTTGAACGTCCCAACACCCTGGAACTGGGAAGGCCAATGCCTGGACAAGCAGTAAGGAAGGAAGGAAGGAGAAACCGAGGCCTCAGCTGGAGAAGGAGAAAACGTGGGGTGGTTGTAGGCGGCGAGGGAGCTGATGTTTCTCCTCCCTCCCCCCCCCTCTTTGCCATGTACCCAACACGATTCCCTTACGTCGCTTTTTCCTCCCTTGTTCGGGCTTCCTTTTTTTTGCTTTTCTTTTAGCCATTCCTTTGGCGTGTCGACTCGCCAATAATAAATATTGGGGACCTCGCTATATCCCATTGACTCCGCTCTGCCTGAGATATCTGCCGTGCTGTAGCCAGACCGCCACATTTATACCCGGGATACTTTAGCACTCGACTCCCCCTTCATTTCCTATATGAATACCATATTTGAGTAGAATTTGATTCATCTACAGCTCCCAAAAGAGCCAAAAGAAAAGAAGCGAGAGAAAGGAAAGAAGAGAATACTGATTCTAAGTAGTTCAAGGTAAAAAAGAGAAGAGAAGGAAAAAAAAAAAAGAACCAACACACAACGACAACATGTGTCGGTGGTTTGCCTACATCTCGCCCGATGAAGAATGCCTCCTGGAGGACGTCCTCATCACCCCCGAACACGGCATTGCCAAACAAGTCCACGACCACTACCTCCCCAAGCTCTTCTCGCACGTCCCCGGCGAGCAGACGACCAAGCTCGAGATCAGCCTGCGGAACCGACTCAACAACGTCGACGGCTTCGGCCTGGTGTGGTACACACCCGTGCGCTCGTCGTTCATCACCAGCATTGACGGGATGCGGCCGGCGACGTACAAGAACGCGCAGCCGCCGAACAACGACGCCAACTTCCACAGCATCTGCGCGGGGACGTCGACGACGGCCGTGTTCGCGCACATCCGCGCCGCGACGGGCACCTCGGTGGCGGCCATCAACAACCACCCCTTCGTGTTCGGGCGGCACACGATCATGCACAACGGCCTGATCTCGCACTTCACCGACGTCCGCCGACCCTTGCTCAGCCTGATGGAGAAGTCGGCGTACGAGAACATCCACGGCACGACCGACTCGGAGCACCTGGCGGCCCTGTACATCACCAACCTGACCAAGTCGGCCGGGGGCGGCCCGCAGAGCTGGGAACGGCAGTACACGCCGCGGGAGATGCTGGGCGCGCTGGTCGACGCCTTCCACGCCATCGTGCGGCTGCAGCAGGAGACGCTGGGCGCGGAGAACGTCCAGGCCTGCTCGCTGAACGTGTGCTGCACCGACGGCGAGCAGCTGGTCGCCGTGCGCCTGCGCAACCACGCCGTCGAGAATCCGCCCAGCCTGTACTACAGCACCACCGCCGGCGTGACCCTGAACCGGAAGTACCCGGGCAACGCCGCGGGCACGAAAAACCCCAATGCCACCCTCAAGCCCGAGGACCACGGCAAGCACTTCATTGTGGCCAGCGAGCCCACCACGTACAAGATCGAGGAGTGGAAGGTGATTGAGAAGAACCATGGCGTCTTGGTGGACAAGGAAGGGAACTGCACGGCGGAGAAGATCGAGATGCCCCAGGAGTTTCTGGCCCAGGCGGCTACGGGACGACATTTCTGAACACGGACCAAGATGATATTGTTTGGATTCAAAAAGTTCTAGCACTCGGAGGGGAAATGGAATACTTGTATCTTTTCAATGCTACCTTCACTTATCTGCCCTTGAACATATGCCTTTTCCGCGCACCAGTACATCGTTGGAATAATCACTACAAGCACACAATAGTAAATCCACCCTCTTCTCCCATGAACCTGGTCGAACAACATCCCCGACCACACGTGATAGCTCACTGACCGCCTCTATTCCTCAGCTCTTCAATCTTCCTCACAAGGCTATTCCTCTTTTCCTGCACCTTTCCCGTTAACTCCCGATCATAAATTGTCTCCTTCCATGCTCCACCAGATTGCTGTCCGTCTTCCACGAGCTGAAGCGCCGATGTGAGAACCTCCTTCTCCGCCTTCAACGCATCCCCCAAGATGCGGCGCTCGTGACCCAGACGTTGATCCCATGTGGATGTTAGTGTTCGGATGATTTCGTTGCCTCCACGGCCATACTGGTTGACGGTTGCTTTCATGGCGTCTTCTTCCGCACCGAATCGGAAAAGGACATCCTAGACATGTCAGTGAAGGCAAGGAGACATGAGCGATCAACTTACATTAGTTATGTTGATGATCGCATCTACCACACCTCTTTGAGATTCCCGGGCAGATACGACGCCCACCAATGCATCATTCCGTCTGATGCCTTCTCCCGTTCGGTGGAAAGGGGTTGTGGTCCCAAAGCTATCGTCCCCAAATTCAGATCGTCGTCTCCGTCCTAGTCTCAGCACCTTGTCTGAGTGATCTCCAAAGACCGTTTCGTCCTCATTCACAACGGTCAAGCTGCCGTTACCGACGTTTTGACTCGTATCTCCTTCAATCGCCTTCGAGCCTTCGTTGTTTGCTGTCACGGTGGCCGGGAGAGGCAGGTGTAAGTTGAGGCGCGTCGAGAAGGAGACAGGCGTTGCTGGAGGCAGTTCGGATTCAAGCACAGGCAGTGGGGGCTCAATGCCTGAAATGGGCACACTAAGGCTCTTCTTCACTCTAACAGGACCAGAAATGACGGGTTTAATTGGCTCACTTGGTGACTTTTGAGGCACAATTACGTGCAGATCCACCTTAGCTGCCGGCCAGGATTTGCGAAGAGGATTAGATTGCTCGACTGACCGGAGCGGAATCGTCGGTGGTGGGGGAGTGCCCATCGTCTCGGTCACACGGTGCGAGAGGGGTGTGTAAGGCTTGCGCATGGTTTGCGAACCAGTCTGTAGATTTGCCTTCCGTGCCGAAATGGGTTGGCGGTGGACATTTTCTGCATCTGCGTGTGCGGTTTGCGAGATAGGAATTGGAAGGATGCGAGATGTAGTGTCGCCTTCACAGATCAGTCCCGAGTGGTTTAACCCATGGGGCTCCTCAGAATTCTTAGGCTCTACCACTCCCTTGGACACCGGATGGACCATGTCGGTTGCAACACTGCTAATCGCGACTTCTTGCATTTCTGGTGTCCGATAACTGGCACGGATTTTGCTAGTTCTCACAACCTTTTGAGGTTGGGGATGTTGCTGATCCAAGGTCGAGTTGGTTCCGATGGACTTGCGTGTCGGCTCACCAGGAATTTGAGACTCTTCGGCTCCAGGAGCGTCGTAGGGAGACAGTTCATCGGGAAGAAGAGGGATATGCAGTCTGTATTGTTGTGTATCGTTCTTGTGCGAGCTGTGAAGGTCATTTACCTGGAAAGAGACCTCACTTGCTGCGTCCTCGGCTCCCGGGACGATATTTTCAGAAGCCTCCTGGTCGTAAGGGATATCTCTTGTTGATTCATCGTAACCTTCGATAACAAGCTCGTCCGCGTTATCAGCATATGCATTAATATCCGCATCTCGGCCTCCGATGGACAGCTTCAGTATATCATCGCCGTGATGTGAAAAAGAGGGTTGGGTCTCCTTAATTTCTGGTGGCCTCAGCATAGGCTCATAGCTGTGGTCCGGGACAAGTTCATCGATGTCTTCCACACGTTCACCCTGCTTTAGATCTAAGTCTTGAGATATCGGACTGGTCTCCTTTGTTGTTTCAGGTCTGACCGGCGTCACCGGGGACTTTTGCTGAACAGCCTGATTGGCAGGGCCTTGAGGACCAAAGTGTACGATTTTAGTTTTTCGCAATAGTTTCTCTTCCACAGGAGGTATCGGACTTTCACTCAGTAGTATCGAGTTGCGCTGGGGGGTGGATTTTCGCTGACCATTGTTCTCTAAACCAGGCGTATCTTTGGAGACGGCTTTTGTGGTCGGGGGGTTTGATACACGCTTCTCTTTCTTCGCTGGAGTCTGTTTATGACTGGTGGATGGAACCACAGGGGTAGCTTTTGGTGCGGTTTGCCCACCTGGAGGGTCGCGCGCAACGGCACCTGCTATCGACCGATCTTCCCGGTCAGTGCCGTCGCCGTCGACAATCTCTCGCATGTTGGTTTCGAAATTGAGTTGCGGGGCTTTCAGTGCATTTTCTAGCGCCCCTTTGCTGAGTGGAAGCGAGTCTTCCGCTGCTTCCTCAAGGCTGTTACACTCTTGGTGTTCAAGAGATTTTTCTGCGTTGGTTGCTTCCCCTGCACCGCCCTCTTCGATCTCATCATCACTTTCGATGTATATTGGTTCTTGAGTAACCCGCCTGGCCCTCGTTGAAGCGGCAGTCTTCTGGGTCTTTATCTCCAGAGTCTTGGTCAACTTCGTCCCAATTGCCTTTTCCTTGTGCCGTTTTGGTGAAGCTGCAACCTGAACATTCTGCCTGTTCACTTTTGCAGATTCCCTGGGAGAGGGCTTGATCGAGGCCTTGGGATTCTTCGTCTTTGTTTTCTTTGCGGGCCGGGATCCCTCATCATTGGAAGGTGGGAGGTCAAATTCAGCTGCTTTTGAAACGAATTTAGATGGCTTCTGCGACTGTTCGTTCTGGAGCGCTGTGGAGACTTTTCCCGCCCTCCGCTTGAGGCCAGTTCTGGCCGATCGTTTACCAGCTTCAGAGTCGCCTCGTGAGTCAGGTTGGACGTCAATCAGGTTAGCCATAGTAATTTCATGCCTGGGCCGTTTGCGGGTCGATTCAGCGGGCTGGTCGACAACCCGCCGTCCGGGATCGACGCCGATGAATTTGCGTACTTTCTCCGACGAAGCGGGAGTGGGCTTGTTTGCCAATTCAGCGTTATGCTTGTAATTCGATTTGTTGGATGGGAAGGATGGGTCTGGAGAATGAGGTTGAGTTTGAGCAGCATCACTGGCGGTCGAAGGCGGGTGTCCTTTTCCCATTGCACCTTCCGCGACGTCCGCTTTCAAATTCCTGCGACCCAGCTGTGATTTCCTAGAGCTTACTTTGTCTTTTGATTGCACATCTCTTGGCCTTCTCTGCGAAGCACGTAGTCGTTCAATCAAGGGCTTATCCTCGAGAGGAAGCTTCAAGGCCGGCGTGTCCTCGGTCGACTTTTCGCTGGCACTGGCCGAAGGCGCAACGTTAGAACCGCGGTCTTGTGTCACTGGCGCCTCTTTCGATCCCTGCTGCTGTCGTGTACGCAATGAAATATTGCGAAGAGGGGAGGAAGCATCGGCCTCGGAGGTTGCCGTGGCCTTCAATCTTGCAACCGATTCACAGTTGCCGTCTGCAGAAGCTGGCTCCAGCTCAATGAAAGCAATTGAGTGCTTCTTAGGATTTTCCGGGACACCTGGCACGTCGTCATGCACATTTTCATGCCGCGCCTCCTCAATCATTTGGATGAAGGCTTCCACCGCACCCTCATCACATAGGGTTATGGTGAGGCTGTTTATAGCACCTTTGGCTCCATTTATGAAACGGTCCCCCTCAACCCCAGGGTATCGGATTTCAACGACCATCGATGAATCAGGCTCCGAGGCCTGGTGACTGACGGAGATATTCTTCGAAACAGGGACAGAAAACAATGTGAGCATATCCACCCCATTGGGTACTAGAAAGGAGATCTCGCTTGACACGGTTGCGACGAATGGCGAGGGACTTTCAAAGTACTCGTTTCCATCACATTCCAGGCGCTGCACCCTGAAGATACGCTCGGCTCTGCAAAACGTTAGCCAAGCATTGCACTACGTTCCGAAAGATCTTCGTACTGTCTAGTAAATGCCCTTGCAAGATCAAATCCGCTGAGGTGGTCGACGAAGTTGCTCAACCACATGGAATCGCCGTTCTTCGAAAGCGGGAAGCCATCCACAAGGCTTGGCTTGCTGCATGCTTTCTTCAAAGCTTCCCTTTCTGCCCCATTGAAGAGTAGTTGTCGGACCACATCGGCTATCAGTATGCGAAGGAAATAGTTCTGCCCTATTTCAAGGATGGGTATCAAGTACTGGCTGGCTTCGAGTTAGTGATGGATGGGCATCGGGCGGCTTAGTACCTTTCGTCGGCAGCCATTATCTCATTTGTCACCACCGAAGTGGAGCGAAGTAGGACAGAGAGGAATTGCGCCAGCTGTGCAATATCAGCTTGGTTCAATATTCTTGTGGAGCAGTTGATGCTGTAGGAAGCAAGTACCCTCCAGCGATGCTGTGGTCTTTTCTCACTGCTCACGACATGGCGCAGTATGCAAGCGCCCAGCTTTCTCCCAATGAAGTCGCCCTGCTCTTTAACTTGTGTGGGAGAAAGCTCAGCCCCGTGAGCCCTGGACAAGACTGGAGCGAAGGTATGCTCGTTTTTATATTGTCGGATTGTGTCCTGACTGAATGAGCAGGATGCCAGCCAGCATTTGTGGGGTGCCACTGACCATGAAGAGATATAGTAGCTTGTTCTGTGTCTCTGAGTATGGGAAATGAAGAATGACTGACGCGACGACGTAGAAAGACTGTGAATCAAGGCGGATGATATTTTTGGGCCGGCCATTTTCTAAAATCTTTTGCAAATTGCGAAGTAAGGAGCTTTCGGTTGGACTGAAGGGTTGCCTGAAGGGCTTGACGATCTCGGCTGGTAGGCTGTAGAGAAGATCTGATCAGCTTTCCCGTATGCAATCCTCAGTGGCGCAGACTTGCCTCACGATTCCTCCCTTCTGGAAGCCTTGCTGGAGACATTTCACAAGAGCTGAAAACGAGGCTTGGAAGTGAGACTGCTTGTCCATTGCGTGAGATGGCACAAGATGATAAGCAATAAAACGATGGTTGAAGTCGCGTGTGGGCTGAGGACGGAGTGGAGAGAGAAGAACAGATGTCAGAACTTGTTCGGTCGTTGCAGACGGCAACCCAATATGAAAGAGCACGAATTTCTTGTCCAACTCACCGCATACTCAACGCATTAGCCATGGTTCAAATCAAGTAGAAGGCGATCCCGAGCAGTCTTCCATTCTATATCAAAAACACTTCCCTTGAAATTTTCATACACTCATTCTCATACAATTCGTTCCACCGTGCTCACTGCCCCGTATTTATGTTGGACCCGTTCAATCAATGGCTCTTTCTCGTCCATGACCGAACCAAAACACTCATGACCAGCATCACCTTCATGACCTTCGTCCTTGTCCCTCATGGTCCTCTCGCCATCTCCAAAGGTCTCCTTGAAGAAGTTGTCGTAGCTCGCCCAACATGCCGCAAACATAGCATTCAAGAACTTGGCGAACCACTTTGGATAGGTTCCGTCTGGTTTCAGAAATATCGCAGCGGCCCCACCCACGAAAAACAAGAACAGGGGAGACCACACACTCAGAAAGATGAACGAGCCCAATCTCTGCTTTGTGGTTGTGATGTGAAATGTTCGAATCTGGTGGAGGAAGGCTTGATACTCGAGGGGTAAACCGTGCTCTTCGGCGCCGTCTGTGATCAGTTTGAGGTATCTCGGGCTCGGTTGTGCGTAGGAAGGGTCAGGTCGAGTGGTCTTGGAGGGTGCAAACAGGGTATGTGCTTTGAAAGGTTGTCCCGAGGGCATCAGTGGGACATCCTCCATTGGACCCCCAGTGAGGGCGTAGCAATCAACAAGGACATCTTGATATCCTGCGCCCCCTCCTTCTGTAGCGATAATGTGCACAAAGTCGGACTTGGTCACTTCGTAGACCACGCCAACCAGACCTTTTGACCAACGATCTTTGTGGTAGTCTTTGGTAGACGTACAGCCTCCGTCTTGCTGGGGCGTCACCTCTCTGTAGCGTACATTTCCAAAGCACGGCTCAGAATATGGTATTCCCGGTAGATCAAAGGTCAAGGACAGGCTCGGTACGAGAACGTTGACCTGCGATACCGGATGTATGCCTCTCTTTCCCTTGAAGGTCTCAGCGCTCAGGTTGGACCCATATCCCAGATACAAGACCGTCTCCTCCTCCTCATCATGATCTGTAGCTGATGTCTTATCGAGGGGATGTAGCTGATCGAAGGCCCGATCGGCAAGTGACTGTTGTTGTCTTGCCTGCGACGTGGTCGGGATGCATTCTGCCGAACGCGTCCTCCGACTGGTGGTGGAGGGTCTTAGGGAATCAATCCAGAGCTGTAAGCTGCCGAGAGCTTGACACGAGCACGAGCTCTCCATTGTATATGTATATGCTCTCAGACCTGCCAGCAGGAGAATCGCAATAGCTGGGGTCAATTGCGCGATTGTTATGGGTTTGCATTTTTAATCAACACATTGGACTACGGAGACATGTTCGGCCGAATGCGATTAGTGCATTCCGCAGGTTGATAAGGCAGGGGAATGCCCGCCAATGGAGATACGGGTGATCCCAGTTGTGCAAGTGCTTCGGTTGTCTGTTCCGTGCTGTGTGTATGAATGTGAAGAGACAGGTAATTGCCAAGTCATCAAATATCATGCACTGCATTTATATATACAGCATTTCACTATCTGATCAGACCAAAGTGTGTCGTTGAAGGCCTCAGTTGCACCCCCGAACAGCCACGATAGTCCGCTCCCAACCAGAGATCTGTTTCCTCGCGCCGAACTAAGCAAAAGACATGCTCTTCTTGATCTCTGCAATTGCCTTGGCAGGGTTGAGTCCCTTCGGGCAGGTCCTCGAGCAGTTCAGAATGGTATGGCAACGGTACAAGCTCATGCTATTGTCCAGCGCTTCCTTGCGCTCAGCCTTGCGTTCGTCACGAGAATCGGCTAGCCAGCGATACGACTGAAGGAGGATGGCAGGGCCCAGATATTGGTCACTGTTCCACCAATAAGACGGGCATGAAGTTGAGCAACAAGCGCAGAGGATGCATTCGTATAACCCATCCAACTTCTTCCGGTCGGCGGGTGACTGTCGGTTTTCCTTGCCCTATAAACATATCAGCAGATGAATTTTTTTGAGCCCGGCGGCATAACCCACGTCCGGTGACTTCGTGTCTCGTTGCAGGAAAGGTTTAATAGATTTGTATTGCTTGTAAAATTGCGTCAGGTCGGGGACGAGGTCTTTGACCACGTAGGTGTGCGGCAAGGGGTAGATCCGGGAATCCTTAGACGTATCCGTGGGGATTCGGCCTGTAACGCATTGTCAATTCGAGATGTATACCAGAGACATGCCGCAGATCTTACACAGGCAGGCAAGAGTGTTCACTCCGTCAATGTTCATAGCGCAGCTGCCGCAGATACCCTCACGGCAGCTTCGACGGAAGGTGAGCGTCGGGTCGACCTCATTCTTGATTCGAATCAGCGCATCCAGCATCATCGGGCCAGTCTTGTTCAAGTCCAGAGTGTATGTCTGCATCCTCGGCTTCGACGTCGGCTCGTCTGGGTTCCATCTGTAGATGTGGAATGTCTTGATCTTTGCATCTTTGTCCGGTTTTGGTTCTTGCACCGTGCTGGTCTTCGACGGAGGGACTGGGGGTCGGCTGGCGGACAGATCAGCGGCACTGTCCTTGGTGACGGTGGCGTATGATCTCGCAGCGTAGGAAGATCGGATTGTAGCTCGGGCGGGCGCCACCAGGCGCGATGCTGTGCGTAGAGCTGCCATGGCCGATGTCGAAGCTTGCCAGGTACAGCACTGATGGCACAGAACCGGAAATAATCTGATGGATTGGAGCGGAGAGTAGCTGTCGAAGGTGATTGAGATTGGATTGAAGACGAGGGCAAGTGGCGTGCAATGCTTCCAACTGGAGAGCCAATCACATTGCGCCTAAATAATACTGCACGTTTTCTGCATCCGACGCCATTCCGAGGCAGTTCCAGGCCTCCCTGAGTGGCTGCTGCACACTCCAAGTCGTCCAGCTATGGCTACGAGGTGCCTGTCGATGCGAGGGAGCAGTAGACCTGACACATTGCACACATCTCTTCTTCTGATTGAATCAGCCTTGTTATCATTCTAACACCAGTCCAGAACAGCAACGCGCGGAAATACGGACACTCGGGTCCTAAGCCCAACTACACCGAGTCAGCCGCTTGCAGAGCCAACAAATACGACATTGGCTGGCCTGGCACTTGTGATGTAAACACGTGGAGTTGATCAATCACAGAGCTGAGAAGAGTACACAAGACATTCTTCTGATCAGAGAAGATCAAAGCTCTCGCAGGTTAGAACTCGCAGACTGACTTGCAAAATCCGTGTATATGTCCGAAACCTTCATTGCTTAATCATGTTGACAGCGTGCTTGAGACTACAGGCCGGCAGACATATAAAAGAACTGTGTGGGTTGATGTCTTCGCTCAACACCGAGAACTGGCAGCCATCTCTCCTTCTCAATTGCAGTGGAAGAAAGCCTCTATCCACCGCACTCTCACCCAAAAATGTCTAGCAATGGAAAGCCACCAGTCTGGTTTATCACCGGATCGTCGGCTGGCTTGGGGCTCGCTTTGACTCGATATGCCATTGAAAATGGCCACATTGTCATCGCATCATCGCGCAACCCTTCAAAGACGCCAGAGTTGGTATCGGAGGTTGAGGATAGCGGCGGGAAATGGATCACCCTTGACGCGACACAGCCAGAAGAAGAAATCAGGACGACAATACAATCTGCAGAATCGCTCTTTGGCGGCATTGACATACTCGTTAACAATGCGGGGATCAGTGTTCTCGGTGCTTTGGAGGATATACCTGACGCCGATACTGTCCTCCAGATGCGAGTCAATTTTCTCGGGCCATTGAGGATTATGCAAGCTGTTCTTCCTCAGATGAGAAAACGAAGATCTGGGGTTATCATGAATGTCTCCAGCACACAGGGCGTCGCCCCGGGCCTTGCGTGCGGCGTCTATGCAGCAAGCAAGGCTGCACTGGAAGCTGCATCCGAGTCTTGCAGCCAGGAAGTTGTACAATTTGGGATCAGAGTTCTCATCATTGTACCGGGGGCATACAGAACCGAGTTCGGCAGTTCGAGCACAGGGAAACACATACAGCCATCAGTGGAATATGGCGGTGGCCATCCAGTAACTCAAAGGCTTCAGCTCATTTCAACATTGCCCAAGGTTGCGATTGGAGACCCTAGCAAGGCCGCTCAAGTGATGTTTGAGGCTGCAACAGGACAAGGCGAAGCCGGAGAGCTTATCAAGAGAGAAAACTTGCTGAGGGTGATCATTGGCCCAGATTCTTGGAAAGGGGTCGACAAAAAGGTCACTGAACTACGAAGAACCACAGACCTTCTCAAAGAGGTCGCAGCAAGTACAAACTTTTAGGAGCCCTGGCGGGTGAGTGTCGGCGCCGAGTCATCAAACATGTGTTCTCGAAGGAGCCTGGTAGCATATTCGCCTCGTCCAAGGTGATGATCTTCAGCATAGGACTCGAGCATCTGAACCGGCTGCTTTTGCGGTGCAGACAATGGCCGCTGTGCCTCTCCGGCGCCGATCAGTCACCTCGCCGGGTCATGACGACAAGGGAATCGAAAGCAGGGCCGTGTTTGCTGCATAAAGTGATTGTAGTGAGAATAGTGCACCAGTTTTAGCTTCTCTGTATCAGATTCTTGTCCGGTATCTCAGGTCCATGTCTCTATTGGAGCCTCCTGTTCGACGGACCGGTTCCGGAGGTTGATCCAGACCGCCTTTAAGACTGGAAAGACGAGTACTGGATAATTGTCCGATACTAAAGCTGTAGGTAGTGCATATTTGGCCAACATTAGGGCTCTCGAGGAAGCTTACATGCCTAAGGCTCTTACACGTATCTAGGTACATAGCCGCTGGCGTACCCCAGATGGACCAACCCTATTTTTTGAGCGGAGCCAGCAGCATCTGCAGTTGTAGGTGGAGGGGTCCTTGTAGCAACACCTTGTAGGGAAGGGCTCTCCACTTACCTGTCCCATCTACAAAGAGGACATGTAAGACCTGAGCTGTATGCCGAAGGATTAGTCGTTCTGCAACAGCTCCCTTAACCAGTGCCACGTCGAGCTCAAGTACAATAGCACTATGAGTTTGGTTTCCTCCTCTTCAGAAGGACATTTCGTAAGCAAATGAGCCGATTTGCCGGTGGAGTGTCTGCTATCATCCTCTTCTGGGTACCCAAGGCAGAATAGACGCACAATGTTTGCCTCCACTTTCGATCGGAAAATATAGAAAAAATCTCGGCCCCGAGATAACAGGCGCCAGGACCGCAGTCCCCCATAAGAGTATTAGACAGACCACAAGGACCCCCTTTCAATGTTTTTGTTCCTGCCGGCACGTCTTACCCGGCTGGGTATATGTAGCGAGGTTCGAGGAGTCATCTGCCGGGGCAAAAAGGTCCCAGACGGCTGGTGGGGTTAAGCGGTCGGGCTTCAGGCAGTCATGCATAATGTCCGCGGGTTCTTGTGATTTGTCGTTACCGCTGGATTGCCGCCTGTTGCACAGCGCCAGGAAATCTTTCAGTAGGTGAAGTGGCGGTCTCTGGGGATACACAAGAACGTGGTTGAGCAGTTGCACAGCACTCGACTCCGGCGAACGTGGAGAGTTTTGAGCCAGCCTCGAGGCGGTTGGGGGATTCGGGCAGCCAGGTACCGGGGTGCGATAATGAGTGCTGGTAACACATGGTGGTGAGATCATGCGAGGATGAATAATGGACGGTTTGCCATGATTGTTTTTCACTTGCTGCCTGCGCCTGCGGATGGCAAAAAATGGGACATCCACTTTTTCGACGCCCGCTCCACCGCCCACATTCCACAATCGGTGGGAGCCGTCAATATTGCCATCGCAATCATCACAGAATGAACGATGATTCATTTACTGCAAAGGAAAATTGAATTTTGCGGGGATCTGAAATTGCCCGCTCAGGGCGTTTGGATTGCTAAGCTCCAGTAGCAGCATCACCGGCATCGCCAGTATCGTCCCACTTGACTCTGTTGGGGCAAACGGGCAGATACAAGCTTCGCCTCGCGTGCGCCAATTGGGGATTGTCCAGATTTTCAACACCCACCCACCTAGGCCGTGGTTCAAAAGGTGCGCCGTCCAGCTAGCCTCGAAAGAATGCAAGCCAAAAGCCGCCCAATCGACAGGGCTCGAAGTCCCGGTTCTTGTGTCCACCCTCTGCATCATGAGAAGCCTGCCCGGTCAGCTCCTCTACCTCCCATTAGCTCCAGCACTGAGGAACGTCTCCGCCCATTCAACACCTTCCCTCTCGCTTGTGGCCGCTTTTCCGTAAAGGTCTGCTCGACTTTCATTACGACAACACCGAGGATGTTTTGCGCCTGATCCTGGTCCCCCTCCCAGTCATCAACTTCCCGGCTCTCATTCCTCCCGTCACCGATTCTTCGGATGTGATACTACATATTAGCTGCCCCTCCCCGCGTGGACAGTCACTCCGTCATGGACTGTTCGCAAGATTCCATCCCCCTTCACTCGTTGTTGGCTGTCCTCTAGAGCGGAACCGATCGCCATGGCGCATACTGACGACGAGGGAGACCTCGAGCGCGCCCTCTCGCGGAACGACGTTGAGGAGCAGGATCTGGAAAAGAGAGACGAGAGAGTACAATATCTAGAAGTCCCCAGAGACACGAGAAGAGAAGGGCGAGGCAGGAGCCAAGACAGTGCACGTTTGGAAAAGGTCGAGTCGACCGTGACCGAAGCGACTGAAGCCAGCACTCCTGCCTATGTACAGACCAAGCCAGAGAAAGTACCATGGCGTTACAGAATAAATCCGCTCCGCCGGCACCCTCCTCCTATACCGGAAGAGAGGACGGTATGTCGAGAATACAACGCGAGCTTCCTCAGTCTCCTCCTGTTCCAATGGATGAATCCTCTCATGACCACGGGCTACAAGCGGCCCATCGAGTTGAACGACATTTGGCTTGTCAACCCTGACAGAAGCGCCACAACCATGAGGGACAAGCTGTCGGCGTCTTTCAAACGTCGTGTTGCTCGAGGGGAGCGCAACCCTCTGATGTTCGCTCTTTTCGACACCTTTCGAGGCGAATTCCTGCTTGGGGCCATGTGTGCATTGTTCTCTGCCCTGTTCCAGGTCTTTTCCCCCTTCACCACTCGCTACCTGATTCAGTTTGCTACAGATGCCTGGATCGCAGACAAGACCGGTGGCAAATCTCCCAGCATTGGTCACGGCATAGGCCTGGTCATTGGTATCACATTCATGCAAATGTGTCAGTCCATGGCGACCAATCATTTCATTTACCGTGGCATGATGGTTGGAGGAGAGTGCAGAGCGGTGCTGATTAACGCCATTTTTGAGAAATCCTTGGTCATCTCCGGAAGGGCAAAAGCCGGCGGGAAGGAGATCAAAGCTGAAGGAGAGTCGGAGACGGTAGTACAGGCAGAAGACGAGAAGCACGAGGCTAGATCGACTCTTGCCCGCGTCTTGTCCAAGCGACTTACTCCCAAGGGTGGCCCAAAAGTTACCCCTGACAAAGGCGCCGGGATTGCTGGAGACGGCGTCGGCTGGAACAATGGCAGGATTGTCAACTTGATGAGTGTTGATACTTATCGTATTGATCAAGCCTCCGGCTTGTTCCATATCATGTGGACGTCGCCCATTCAGATCATCGTCGTTCTGGTCGTGCTCTGTATCAATATTGGATATAGTGCTTTGGCCGGCTACGCATTACTGGTTATTGTGCTTCCCATCCTGACCAAGGCTATCAAGTCTCTCCTAGCAAGGAGGAAAAAGATCAACAAAGTTACAGATCAGCGTGTGGGTCTGACACAGGAAATCCTGGGCTCCGTGCGATTTGTCAAATTCTTTGGATGGGAGACGAGCTTTCTGGACCGGCTGAAGGAACTCCGCAAGAGAGAGATCAGGGCTGTCCAGGTCTTGCTGTCAATCCGAAATGCCATCAACGCGGTCGCCATGTCAATGCCAGTGTTCGCAGCAATGCTTGCCTTCATTACATATTCACTTTCTGACCACGGTCTTGCTCCCTCGCGGATCTTTTCGTCCTTGGCCCTCTTCAACTCCCTACGGATGCCACTCAACTTGCTACCTCTGGTTCTTGGACAAGTTACCGATGCCCAAACGGCTATCCAACGTATCCAAGAATTTCTACTATCCGAGGAACAGCAAGACGAGATCATCTGGGATGAGGACATGGAGCCAGCGGTTGAAGTGCAACATGCTTCCTTCACTTGGGAACGGACTGCTAATCAAGATATGGAGCGGGCTGCCACATTCCAGACGAGAGGTGAGCTCATGGCCGCCAAAAAAGCCGAGAAGGAACGAAAGAAGGCTCAAAAGAAGGCCGAGAAAGCAGCGAAGAAGAACAAGAAATCCCCTGGCGCATCCAACGAAGACATTGCAAGCGAGACTACGGAGGTGGAACCCTTCAAACTGCACGACATGGACTTCACGGTGGGCCGAAATGAATTGATCGCTGTCATTGGAACGGTCGGCTCTGGTAAGACCTCACTTCTCGCCGCTCTGGCAGGAGATATGCGCAAAACAGATGGCAAACTCAAGATGGCATCTACTCGTGCGTTTTGTCCGCAATATGCTTGGATCCAGAATGCCACCTTGAAGGATAATATTCTTTTCGGTAAGCCGTACAAGTCCAAATGGTACAGGGATGTCATCGATGCGTGCGCCTTGAAACCCGACCTGGAAATCCTCCCCGCAGGAGATCAGACAGAGATCGGTGAGCGAGGCATCACTCTCTCAGGCGGTCAGAAGCAGAGGTTGAACATTGCGCGGGCAATCTACTTTGACGCGGACATCGTCTTAATGGATGATCCGCTCTCTGCCGTGGACGCCCACGTTGGCCGCCACATCATGGACAAGGCAATCTGTGGTCTGATGAAGGACAAATGCAGAATCCTGGCGACTCATCAACTTCATGTTCTTTCCCGGTGTGACCGGATCATCTGGATGGAAGACGGTCATATTCAAGCCATCGACACCTTTGAGAACTTGATGACCACCAGTGTCGATTTCCAGAAATTAATGGCCACCACGGCTCAAGAGGACGAGAGTGCGCTGGCAAAAGCCAAGGATGGAGAAGCCAACGAGCAAAAGCCCGGAAAGAAACCCAAGAAGAGCAAACCTGCGGGCCTGATGCAACAAGAAGAGCGTGCCGTCAAGTCGGTCAGCTGGACCGTCTGGGGAGCTTACATTCGTGCATCAGGATCCCCGATACTCTGGCCGCTCATATTCATCTCCCTTATCTTATCCCAAGGAGCCAACATCGTGACCAGCTTGTGGCTCAGTTGGTGGACGAGCGACAAGTTCGGATTTTCCGAAGGGGTATACATTGCTGCATATGCATGTCTGGGACTGTCGCAAGCGTTGCTCATGTTCACGTTCTCAACTCTTCTTTCCACGAGCGGCACCAACGCTAGTAGGGTCATGCTGCAAAGAGCCATGACCCGAGTCTTACGCGCCCCCATGTCCTTCTTCGACACTACTCCTCTCGGCCGGATTACCAATCGATTTTCAAAAGATGTGGATTCGATGGACAACAGTTTGACCGATGCCATGAGGATGTATTTCCTCACCTTGGCCATGATCACGTCTGTCTTCGCCCTGATCATTGCCTACTTTCACTATTTCGCTGTGGCTTTGGGCCCCCTATTCATCCTGTTCTTGTTCGCGTCGAGTTATTACAGAGCATCAGCACGGGAAATCAAACGACACGAAGCGGTTCTCCGTTCTACAGTCTTTGCACGATTTTCGGAGTCTATTTCAGGAGTTGCATCTATTCGAGCGTACGGGCTGCAAAATTATTTCACGACACGCTTGCGGGACGCCATTGACGGGATGAACTCTGCATATTACCTGACATTTGCAAACCAACGATGGTTGTCTACCCGGCTAGACGCCATTGGAAATGTACTTGTCTTTGTTACTGGCATCTTGGTGGTGACAGATCGTTTTAATGTTAATCCTAGCATAGCGGGTTTGGTTTTGTCCTATGTTTTGGCCATTGTACAGATGATCCAGTTTACCGTTCGGCAACTGGCCGAAGTGGAAAACAACATGAACGCAACAGAGCGGCTGCACTTCTATGGCACTCAGTTAGAGGAGGAAGCGCCACTGAAAGGTGCCGAAGTGCCCGACCACTGGCCTCAAACGGGAGCCATCACGTTCAACAAAGTTGAAATGAGGTATCGACCGGGGCTACCGCTCGTTCTTCACGGCCTGGATTTCCAAATCCGAGGTGGAGAGAGAATCGGCATTGTTGGTCGTACTGGAGCTGGCAAGTCGTCGATCATGTCGGCGCTTTTCCGATTGACAGAACTCACGTCGGGACAGATCAAGATTGACGACGTTGACATTTCAACCGTTGGTCTATACGATCTGCGGTCACGTCTAGCCATCATCCCGCAGGACCCGACCCTGTTCCGAGGCACTATCCGATCGAACCTTGACCCCTTCAACGAGCATTCAGATCTGGAACTCTGGGCAGCACTGCGCAAAGCAGATCTCGTTGGAGATGAAATGGTGACAGCAGAAAAGGTCGATCGTCCCGATACCGCACAGACTGCGGCGACATCCACGTCGAACGTCAACGCGCCAGGCGGGGCCAGCCGGATCCACCTCGACAGTCCCGTAGATGAAGAAGGCTTGAACTATTCACTGGGCCAGCGGCAACTGATGGCCTTGGCTAGAGCACTGGTGCGCAACTCACAGATTATCGTCTGTGACGAGGCGACCTCCTCGGTCGACTTTGAGACCGACGAGAAGATCCAGCGGACCATGCGGACGGGCTTTGCCGGCAAGACGGTCTTGTGTATTGCTCACCGCCTGAAGACCATCATCAACTACGACCGCATCTGCGTGATGGACCAAGGAAGGATTGCGGAATTGGATACTCCCATCAATCTATTCGAAGCAGGTGGCATCTTCCGGGGCATGTGCGACAAGAGCCATATTGTGCGAGAAGATTTCTTCCGCGAGTCATAGCGTCGTGGGCCTCGTTTGGCATTTGGATGGCGTTAACAGTACATATTCACGAGATACCTTGATAGATTGAGCTCTCTCAGCCTCGTCTTTTCTCCAAAAGCTAGTTAGTTTAGTCACAATATTCGGGCCGAGTATGCAGCAACCCTTGCCTCTTCCATGATAACTTTCATCTACCAGATACCCGAGCACTGCCGAGGGATTCAACACCTAGGTTAACGACGAGGAGGGAGTGAGCCGGCAGACGCAGTGGCTGCTTTAAATCGAGTTTTCCTACCAGCTAGTTCGTCACCGCGAGCCTCGGATGGACTGGATTAGGGCTAGTTGGGCTGCACAGGATATACTTGTAGGACACAGAGCATGGATGGGATAATGCAGTAGGTAACAATAGGGTGACAGCCTCGTGCCGCTCCCGCTGACAACAGAGCGAGCCTCGTGCCTACCAGCCGTGCAGCCTCATCTCCCCTCCCCACCTCAAAGGCCCGCTGCCCAGCCCGCAAGCAGCAAGCTTGGCATCAGCCTTATTCGCTCGAGCAACCGCAAACCCATCGACACCGCGACACCAGCAGGGAAATCTGTTCTGAGCATACCTGAAGAGACTGTCGCCCCCCGCTATTTCTGGCACCTGCCACATGGCGAACACCAAGACTGAGGAGCAAATGGCACTGGCACAGGACCCCATATCTCGAGGACAAACCTTCCGTCACGACCAATGATCTCTGCCGAGCGACGGCGTCAGCGTCCATCTTATCAACCTCTGCACCAAGTTCACGACATCGAGACATGCGATCTTCGGGTCCTGACACGGGCTAGAGTTGACACCACCCCCTTATTCTCCACAATCTTGTCTAGATCTTTTCGCTGCCCGTTGGCCTTCCAAGCGAGTGCCTACTTTGGCCCTGAGCGAGCCCTGAATGACATGAAGAATGGTCTTTCCGACAAGCTGGCTAATTATCGGAGGTAAGGCGGTCCATACGTCCCGATATTGCCTCACTGTGGAATGATAAAAGACAAAATCATCGGGGAAGCCCTGGAGTCGAGCTAGTTCCCGCACAGTGAGAAGATCTTGGCGTCCTGTGAGACCCATGGTTAGTTCGCAGATACAATGCCAGGCGAAAGAGTTGGAGAAGCTTCTACTCGGGTCACTTACTGGGATGTGTCCAAGGTTGCAGCACGCTGGACAGCGTTACCACGGCATCAGTGTCCCAGTGCAGGGGAATTCTGCAGGATGGCGGTGGATGCTGCCCCGTCTGGTGATTGTAGACATGATCTAGACACGGGCCACGGCGTTGATCTGGGTGTGCTGCGTCGAGAGGAGGCGAACAGACAAATGCCCGCTTTGATCCGGATCCAAGGCGAGGGTTGTCAAAGTCAAGGTCAACTATCAGATCACGGAGCGTGATGGGCTGTTCTTTTCTGGGTAAAGAGGGCCAATGCAGATACCAGGGGAGTGGCGCACAGAATGGAGAAGCTACCACGAGGAGGATGCTTCGTTCTTGCGGAAGCCCGTGCTCTTGAAGACGACAGAGCCTTATATGGACGGACCGTCGGTGCTTGAGCAGGTTGATTATGGTCGCCAAAAACCGCGGCACGAATGATGCGTGGAGCATTGCCGGCGAACTCAGCATCACCAAAAAGTCCGGCTTTCCCGGGGTTTCCACGGCCGCATCGACAAGGTCAAGCAAAGAGACAAAATGCTCTGCCGACGGCATCCTGTTATTTGCTTCGTTCAGACGAAAAGGTGCGCTTCTCCCGGCAATCAGCGCAATATTTGGCGGTGCAGGGTCTGGCGTCGACGGAGGGCGAAGTTGCTCAGAGTAGATGTCGCTGAGGACTTTCTTCGGTGGACCATCATACACTTGGCTCTTCGTGTGTCGTATCTGGATAGATCAACAAGCGGATTCAAGGCCTCAGAGCTGGGTCATCCATACCTTCCATGACAAGTGGCGCTCCTGGTCAAAACCCAGCGCAGCTTGGATTTCGAGCCCAGCTTGCGAAAACCCTTCCGCGGGGCCCAGGATGCCGGGCGTGAAATCCACGACGGATGGCCTCGAAGCATTGACGAACTGTGGTGCCGGCCAGCGATCACGGCGCTGCAGCAGGTGAGAGGCCACGGGTGTCAAACATGCTATCTGATCGTTCGACGTGGCCCCTCGGATCGCAAAACGGCAAAACATGGAACCATCCCCCGAGCCTGGACACGAAGCATACGGTCAGCCCTTCTTGATCGATGCCACGTCTGGAAGACCTCTTCGTTACCTGGAGGCGGCTGAAGGACGTGCTCCACGCCGCCTAGAGCATTGTTAGAGCAGCCCATCAAATCAGCCGCATGGACAATATCGTCCAGCTGAATGAGCTCGGCATCATCTCGCATGCCCATTTTGTCGAACTCTTCGAAATGAAGCAACAGCTCGAGACTATTTGCGCTCACACCATCGTTGTCCAAACCGGGCGTCTGGAGACTGGAATAAAGCGACACAAGTTTCGAATACTTGGTGACCAGTAAATATGCTGTGGCTGCTTCATGTTCCTCTTCGCAGTAGGAAATGTCGTGGATGAAGATGATATGCTCCGAAGCACTGTCACCGCCCAGGCGGATGAGGGCATATTCACCTTTGACAAAGTGAAACTCCAAGTGGGCGCACTCAAGGCTGGCCACGGGGTGAAAGGTCGGCTGTTGCAAGTCGATGTCAGTCCATCGTGCGGCCTACGGCTACAGAAGGGTTCAACGTACGGTCTGATGCTTTTCTCGACGTGCCAGGAGTTTAAAAAAGGCACTTGGCAACTCTTCAGCATGCCACCGCCGCCACTCCTCCTCGTCTTTTCCGAATGCTGGCAGACCAATGATATCCTCTCCAAAAAGCTCGACGTCTTTCCACTGAAGTGGCCTCCGTGTCTTCTTACCTGATGGCCCGGGGATGGCGTCGGTGACTTGGTTATTGCTCTCTGAAGCTTTCTCGTCCGTTCCTTCAAGCTTCGGATTGGTCACATACCTGTCCTGATTTCCCTCGGCCCCGTCGTCCTCGTCGACCTCGCTAGCCGCAACGCGAGGGCCCTCTGCGTCGCCTGGAGGTGGCAAAGGTCGAGTGAGAAACCTGCGAGGTGCCACGGGTGCTGGAGGCTCCGCAAAGAAGGAGCCGTTTTCCACTCGCGCGACCATCGGAAAATAAAATTCACGGGGATCTAACCCGGTGAATATCGCTTTCAACCGACCCCGAGGAACGATTTGAAAGGCGCAATCGCAGTCGATCGAGGCTTCTGCGCGAAAGGGCGGCCCATCCTCCGAGGGGGCACCGCTGGACACAGGGACTCCTAGTCACGCATGAGCATCAGTCCGAGTATGCAACCCGATGTATACTATCACACACCGCGCCGATGGACATGGATCACATCATTTTGCCTCTCCAGACACGAGCTAGCCCGGTGGAGGATGACCTGGTAGCAGACATTGCTGCTGCAGACCGTCGACACAAGTCCACATTCGTTGCCGATCCAGCGGACCTCGAGCTCGTTCGCCTTATCCGTACGAGCGACACGGACCAGCCGAGGCATGAGCCCGAGCTGTTCACGCATGGTGCGCCGCAGGGGCCTGATGTCTTGGGGAGCAATTCCTATGGCGCTGCCCGCTAAGCACAGGAAAGCTTCGAACAGGTCCACGGCGACATGGTCGCAGAAGAATGCCTCGCCGCCAATGTGTCCGCGACCTATTGAACGCAGACCCTCACACAGGCCGTTTTCGTGGACCTTCTGAAAGCTGAGACATTTGCGGTGAACGAGAATATGGGTCTTCTGTTTGTTGCACGCTACCTCGACATCCGTGCCCCCACCGTCAACGAACTCAAGTTTCATTTTGCGCAGCTGTGGATGTAAAGTCAATGAGGCCAACAAGGATCGGACAACGTTGGTGCTGAAAGGATCACTCTCATCGCGCCCTAGCTCTTTCGACCCGAGGAATAAATAGAAGCGTTCTTCGCGAGGGGTGCGAACAAGCGAAAACTTTCTTAGCAGGCTCCATAAGGCACGCGAGATTGCCACGGGTCTCTTCTGGAACTCAGTTGAGATCAGGGCGATCTTTCCCGCTTCAACATTAGGTCTAGGTGTTTTCTCTGTGGTGGATAGGAGTATCTTACCTCGTCCGGAGTCTGAGGTCGACAAGGATCACCCTCGCAATAAAAGAAAGCATCGGGGTCCATGTTCCTCAACCGCTCCCAGATCAAGCGTGCCATCGACTCTGGCAGTTTGTCACTCGTCATAGCAGCCTCAGGACATCCCTCTTGTTCCCGCAGCAGTCTGATGTAGATGTCGATCACATCCGGTCTTTGCCCCAGAAGGGCTTGTTCCCAAATATCGCCAACAATCTGGAGCTCTTCCGATGGCTCTTCCAGACGAATCCGATCCCGGCCGATGGAACCATGTGCAAAGTTGTATCCCAGCACATAATCAGTATAATGTCCGGCGATCCGCAACCCTTTGCGATAGATGTGCCTGGCGAAGCGTCCGTCAAGGATCAGATCGCCGGACCGGGTCTGGACAACGTCGCCGGGCGAGGGCGAGGGCGAAGTGAGATCGATCGAGACCGTCAACCACGAACGGAAGTCCTCTTCTGAGACTTTGAGCCCGAAGCCCCCCTTGGCCCTGCCGATCCTCACGGACACGTCCTCCCAGATATTCGACGTCAGGCCCCTTTTGAAATTCGGTTTGGCACTCTGAAGGGCGCACTTTATCTTCTTTTTCTCCGTCGTCTCAGGTTTGGCTGCTGTGAGCCGACAGAAGAGTTTCGTGCGGGAGCGTCCATGCAGTCCAAAGCTCCAATAGTACTCGCAGGCTGCGAATCGGACGGAATGTCCCATCCTGCGCAGCACCACAGCGGCCAGTTTGAAACCCTCACCGTGGCACCCCGCAAACTCGCCGTGGCCTTCTTTATTCGAATTGTCCATCACCAGATTGTTGCGCTTCAGCTCTGCCTGAAAGTTGACCAGTTCGACGGTCCCAGCCTTGCGGATGAAGCGGATGAATCCGAGAAGCTCCCGGGACTGTCGGTCCCCATCTTCTCCGGAACGTCTGTGGATGGTGATTTGAATCTGTGCGCGGGTTTCTCTGAGAACGGGCCGGAAGGACCTTGGATCAAGATTAAACGATGCGATTATGGCATCCTTCCTGGCAGAACGTGTCAACAAATGGCGAACAGAATCGGAGTCATGGACGAGTTACCAGTTTTGATATAGCTCCCGGAAGGCCTCCTGGCCTTTCCACGATCGGACATACCGCGTTGTCAGGCTCGTGGTCTGTACGCATGGGCGGAGCTCCTCTTCATCGTCAACGAAGTCGTGCTCGTGGTCGGGCAGTTCATCCTCTGAACTATCATCACTGGCCGAAACCGCATCGTGCGCGGCTGGATCGTCGCCCAAGGCCTGAAACGGTGGATCGAAGGACGAACACCCGTTCATTTTGGGGCGCGAATGGGCTCAAATATTGGCTTCGCCAGGGTCGCTGTGCGGTTTTCACGTCACGAAGGGGAAGCGTGCGCAAATATGGACCTCACTTCACGGGGTAGCAGGGGTAAAAGAGAGCATTGGAGGCAGAGGGGGCCAGAGAGTGATTCTGCATGTCATCAGGCAGGAGGGGACGTGCCAGCGCCTCGTGTCATATACTTCCTGCCTACCTACCCAGCAAGCCTCTTCTCGCCAGCAGGTCATGTCGCTGGGGAGAAGATGAAAAAAAAGATCGATGGAACAGCCAATGGTGCTCTCCTCTTCACCTGCTCTGTGGATCGCCGGAACAAAGTACATGGCCAAACCCCTGCAAGTGCGGTGACAACCTGGGGATGTGTGCATGCTGTCACCACAGGCTGCACTTCCGCGCTGCGGGCCATACCATTTTGGATCCTGTGGCGTCTCTTCCGCCATACAAACCCTGCAAAATCCGTCACCGCAAGAAGCAAGGCCGGATTTCGGCCCGCCAGCTCTAACCGCTTCAAGAGGGGCGAACGAGCACAGCCTGTCCAGCTCGTATTCGTGGAAATGACTGTCGACCTGCCCGACGACCAGCCCAGCGAACCGCCGACCTACAAGGCCCGGTAGGCAGCTACAATGCCGCGTCCTGTCCTGCCTGGTGTGTACTGCCTGGTGTGTCCTGGAATTTCCCGCAGCGGATTTGCTTCTCCCGCTGAACTCCGCGCTTCTCCCATTCTGCGTCGGGCACCCGTAAGGCTGGAGAGGACGCCCCCTCATTCAGATGGAAGAAGGGGTCTTTCTCGCAGTATAAATGTCCAATTCGAAGAGCTCTTTACCCCTGGGATGCATGAATGCGATCTCAATTCTGCTCTCCTGGAAGCACATGGGTGTCTTCACAGGTCATGAGACGGACGAAACTGAGGGGTGGTTCGGCGGATAGGATGGTGGGTTCAGGGCGGTGCGTAGTGGTGATTGATACACCTCCAATCTCGTTGGCTCTCGAACCTAGGCACACTCTGTAAGTTGTTGACGTTTCCTTTGACATCGACCACAACGACAACGGGCTAAGGTAAGGCGTGGAATCATCACTGATGCAGGTATGGACTGGAATGCAGTCGCTGGGGCCGGGGCCGGGGCCGGTGATCGCGAGACCGTCACAGCCGCCGAAAACCAAATAAGATTCTTGGGGACAGTTGATCACGACAGGATGGACGACGGCCGCCCTGAACAACAGCAGTCGGGGAACGCTGACAACATCAACACATTCTAAAGAGCCGGGGCGTCCTCCTCTGCACGAAACAGGGGACTTCCCCCGGTGGCTCTACACAGTCGGAGCAGTCTTGGCGGAGGTTTTGGCTATATATGCTGCACATTTCTCTCCGCCCAATTTCTTCTTCTTCTTTTCCTTTCTCCGCCCCTCTCCATTGTTCACTTCGATACGATGGAGAGTGGTCCCTGTGAGCTGCTGGGAGCTCACGGTACAAAGACAATGGCCGCCTCCGGCTCTTGTCCAGAATAGAACAAACAACAACGCCGCCGCCGCCAGGGCTTCGCCAGCAGTGCCCAGCAGTGGAGGAGGTGCAGGCCCAGCCACAGGGGCCGAGAGAGAGGGGGGGCCAGCAGAATCTGAGGCGAACTGTCCAACAATAAGCCAAGGGTCAAAGCGACCGAATGCAAACCTAACAAATCCCTCGATTTCTGCTGGCCGAGGGACTCTCACTCCAGAGGGCGCTCTAAGAAACAATGCACCTGGCGCAGACACTTGTCATGCCCGCATTGAAACGGGAGGGTGGAGGAAGGGGCAGAGAGAGAGAGGGGTGTCGTGACAGGGAGGGAGAGGGAGGGAGGGAGGGAGGGAGGGGTGTCGTGACGGTGGGAACGGCGTGGAGAGATGAGGCTGTGGTGGGGTTACAGCGTGGCTGAAGTCACTCCTGGCAAAGGAGGATTGGCAGCAACGGCACAATGGGATCATGAGGGACGGGTCTTTCGGATTTGCAAAGGAGGGTCATGGCGATTGTTTGAGCAATGGAAGGGGAAGGGAAACATCGAGAGCTGCGTGCACCTATTCACGAACCGGGGAGTGCAGAGAGGAAGGCGGAAAAGTCTTGTATCTAGTCCAACAGTTGCGTCGGCATACGTTCGAGAGAAGGGACAGTCGATTTCAAAGTCTGTCTTGGGGGCTTCTAATGGGCAGTAGTATTAGTTCCTACATCCATCCTCCTCTGCGGAGTACACTGCAAAGTCGCACTTCCATCGTTTTCTCCGTCCCCTACTCCGCTTGGAAGCGCGTGTAATGGACGCCGTCGCAGTGTTTTTCGGGATTGTCTTCTCCATGTCCTCCTGATCCCATTCCCCGGGCTCGTAACATCTCCTCGTGCCGGTGGCAGGTCATTCAGACAATCCCTCTCCACTAGATGCATCGCTGGAGACGGCGACAAGGCGTTGCCAATCTAACCCCACAGCTCCTCCCTCGCGCCCGTCTCATACAACGTCTGAAGCGCCGAATCACCCCTTGCGAGAAGGACACCGGGGGCATCAAACTCGACCAGCCTCCCGTCCTCCATGACAGCGACGCGATCACTGTCCAAAACCGAGTCGAGCCGCTGGTGAGGTCCCGCGACGGCCAAGATGGTGTGCCCTGCAAACTCGTCCCTGATCACCCCCCACACAGCTTTCTCTCTGGCCGGGTCCAGCTGGCTCATATCCTCGTCGAGGAGGAGCACGCCTTTTGATTCGGGGTGTTTCTGTTTCTCTGGACTTTTCGTATCGGTCTCGGCGCCGCCGGGACTGTTGCTGCGGAGGTCGTGTCGGCTTTTGCGGAGAATGGCCCGCGCTAGACTGAATAGTTGCTTCTCGCCCTGGGATAGGAACTCGGAGGTGACGATCGCGTCGAGGCCGCCTTTCTTTTCGAGCGTCGGCCACAGCAAAACCTTGGCGAGTGCAGAGATGATTTGAATATCGTCATACTCGCCGCTGGGATCCACATTGAATCGCATAGATCTCTGCTGGACAAGAAAGGAGTCTTTGGGGACGGTGATGATACGTTCTCGGATCACCGCGTGAGGGATGGTGTTGAGATCGACACCGTCGATGATGATCGAGCCTTGTGATACATCCAGCAGTCTCGAGGTTGCAAGGAGAAGGGAGGTCTTGCCACTCCCAGGGTGGCCGCAAATCCCTACCTTTTCACCTGGCCGAATTGACATTGTGAGGTTTTTGAGGGCGTCCTTGGCTGCGCTGTAACTCGCAGTGATGTTACAGAGCTCGATACTGCCATGACTCGGCCAAGTAGGGGGGATCTGAGTGCTGGTTAAAGGGGTCATCTCTTGCGCTGTGTCAGTTCCAAACTCTCGAATTCGTGCTATCGACCCTAGCGAGATCTCCAACAGTGTCCAGTACTGGAGCAAAAAGGACAATATGTCATTGAAGCTCAGGATATTGTTAAGAGAAAGACCTAGAGAACCTGGATTGGTGGACGTCCGTAGGCTGACGGCCAAGGTCATCACGATCAACGCCAGTGCGGCAATGACCAAGTCCAGAACAAGTTGGAGCCACCTTTGTGCGCAGTAGAGCAGGTAATAAGGAATTTGCGAGTCGTCGAGCTTCTTGATCATGGAGTCTGTAAACTGTTGCTCCCAGTGGAGGCTTCGGATGCTGCTGAGTCCTTTCATTGTTTCGAGGAAGTGGGAATACAGCGGGCTTCTGAGTTCAAGCTCAATAACCCGAAGTCGACGAGATGTTCGGAGGTAGATCCACTGAATGAAGAACAGCGCGAGCAGGACCGCTGGAATGGTCAGGGCCATCCATCTTGATCCGTTGCATATCAGCGCCAAGGATCCGAATGTCCAGAAAAGATAGATCGTCGTGCAGAGGACCCCAGTGGGTAGTTGGGATTCGATCAGAGTCATATCCTGACTGAATCTGTTGAGCAATACGCCGACATCGGCCTTTGCTAGAAACAAGTATGTCGCGTTCGTCACAGTGTCGAGGAGGATGTGATGTAAGTTTGCCGCAGATTCCGGCACCAGCTTGAGGAACATTGCCCAGGTAGTAATACCAAAGAATACGGCATTGCCACAAGCCAGGGTGAAATAGAGCGGCGTCCATTTCGCAATGTCTAGGCCACCGTCTGCGGTCCACCACTGCAAGATGACTTGGGACATGTAATAGCAAAGGGTCTGTGCGGCGGCGGACAGGAAGAACAAAACCACCCATATCCAACTCATGCTCTTGAAATAATAAGCGTAGTCTGAGAAGTCACTGTCATTGCGGCCATGTTTCTCTCCCGTTGTGGGCTCGGGGGCGACTTCAATGATTTTGTCCTTTTCCTCGACAGTGCCTATTGTTTTCGGCTCTGTGGTGCATTCGGATTCATTCGGATCGGTCTCGAAAATGCGATCTTCCAGTCTGGCTCTTTTCTGAACCAAAGTGACATTTCTTTCACTGTCAATCATTATCAAGTTGTCCGCAATCTCTGCGTAACGCGCAGTTTGGGCTACAATAACTCCAGTCGCACGGAGTTTTCGTAGCAGTCCATCTCGGCCCAGTAAACCCTTCATAACCATTCGTTGTGTCTGAAGGCTCGAAGCACTGAGTAAGTTGTCAAGAACGATCAGGCGAGGTCGCCGGTACAGAGCGCGGGCGAGCACGATACGCTGTTTCTGGCCTCCATTTAGATCGGTAGCTTGTCCACCAATGTGTGTCAGATCGCCCTGTGGCAGTGAGAGCACTTCGTCGTGGAGAGCACATGCAGCAAGGACAGTCTGATACCAGCCCTCGTCGAAAGTTTCAGCCTTGGTGCCGCAAATATTTTCCCGCACAGTGCCCGTAAAGAGCCATGGGGTTTGTTCACAGTAGACGACCTCCCCTGTAGACCGTATGGACGCCGAGTGACTAATCTCACTCATCACAGCTTTCAAAAATGTGGATTTACCTGAGCCAGCAGGCCCAAGGATGAACGTGATGCTTCCGGGGTGCAGAATCGAGTCCACATTTCGAAGAATGTCACGAGAGCCGCCGAGCATTTTGACGTCGGAATGAGACATACACGGATCACCAGAGTTTGGCCTTTGCGGCAAAGCACCAAGCTCAGCGACATCCCGACTCGGAGTCCGAACTTGTGATTTCAGTAGGTGTGTCTCGATCCTGCTTAGACAGCCAATGCATGAGGCTGCAGCTGGGTACGCTGTCAGAATCTCGGCTGCAGGGGTTGTGACCAAAGAGATAAGAGCAAGGCTCGTGAAGGCGTCAGAGGCGTTCAGTGAGGCAGAACCCTCAATTCTGGCCTTGATTGCATATGCAATGAATGTCACGGCTGCAGCGAGAGCAGGCGGTACGTTTCCTGTTCAGTCGTCGTCAGACATATCTCCAATGGACCTAAGCAAAGGTGCATCTACCCAAGGTATTCAGCCAAACAGTCGCGTGACGGAACTTCGCCTGGAAGCGCAATTCGCGCAGTCTTTCGTTTTGCAGCATCGAATGTATGGGTCCGGTGAGTCCTAGAGTTTTGATGAGCTTCAAAGAGCCCAGAACATCAGCCGTCAACGAGATTCTTTGTTGGACCGCATCATTCCATATCTTGACTTTTCCGCCGATCATCATGGTGACCCTAGAATCGGCGGTGATGCTAAGGAGAACAACAATTAGCGGCATAGCAGACACCCAACCGATCTGTAATGCTAGCAGAGTAGTGCCAACAACCAGTTCCAGGGGACGAGACCAGAGGTCGGGAAGCACAACTAAACTCTGGCAGATCCGGTCTACGTCGGTGCTCATCAACGTCAAGACAGCCGAAGGATCGTCAAGGGCCTGCTCCATGGAGAGCGTCTCAGAGTAGATAAGCGCGACGAGAGCACCTCTGGCCAATGTAATATGCCGGTACAACTGGTGCTTGTAGAGAGCGGTCGAGATCTAGACAAACCCGGATCAGCATCCATTATAACACCAGGTTCAGGCCCTGTACCGCTATTCCCGCGTAGATACAACCGGTAGCTGCCACGAGACCGTAACCGATGTCATTTGCTGAGCGTGGTTGAGCTAGGTAACCAGTGGCTCGACGAATGAGAAAGGGCTGAGCGAAGACAAATCCACTGTAGCAGAGCCTTGCAGGTATTGTTGACAAGATAGACCACCGAAGCGCTCTCCATAGCGACCGGAGGAGAGGCCATTTAGCTTGGCAGTCTTGCTTTGACCACTCGTCATGTATTCGCCGATGAATGGTCGCAGAGTCGAGCTTGGTATCGATTGCACCGAGGTCTTCGAAAGATATCACCTTCCTAAATCCTGAAATGAACAAGTCGTTCATCCATACAAACAGCCCGCGGCTCAGGATACTGCTGGTAGTTTCCACGGGCAGAGCTTGGTACTGCATTTCGAGAAAGCTTCTCTTGCTCCATGCCTCAAGTAGGAGCATGACAGCTTTGACGGCCATCGCTGCGGAAAATATCCCTGCAAGTTCACCCTGACCTTGTAAAAGGTATAGTGTCCGACCTTGAGGGATGTCAAGAATAATTGAGAGGGCTAGATAGGAGTTGAGGAGGGTCGAAGGTCGAACAGAACGATGATGCTCGAGGTACGACAGAGGAGCAACGAATATAGCCACACACATCGCCACCACCGTCGCTGAAAGGGATGTCGCCTTGTTGACGGACGTTGCGGCGGTGTAAAGCAGTAGAAGCACCAGCTGAATGACGACCAAGATGCAAGCGGCTATGACTTTGGCAATCGAGGTCCAGCCATGCTTGGTGGTGCGGGTTGGTACGTGAAGCAGAACCCATAGGCGTGAGGCTGCAAAGAGCAGGAAGACAGCATTGGGAACAAGGGAGAGAACGCTTTGTTCGAAGAGGAGGGTAAAGTCGAAGGATCGAGCACAAGAGGCTACCACTGGGCCAAATGTGTTGTCTGCATCAGGTTCACAGTGTGCCATTGTCATACGTCGCACCTCACTTTGTCAGGCAACGTGGGATAGCTGCTGAATGACATTACAGCAAGAATGGGAGAGAAACAAGTCCGCGAAAAAGAAAGTGTCTCTCCGGGAAGATTCTGAGGATGACCGTCATAGTTCTCACAAATATGCTGCCTGATGGCAATGGGCAAGGGTTGGAGTCGATTCAAGCATTTAGGTAGTAGATCGCCTACGCACCCCGGCTTTGATGGCGTGTTGAACTGAACATGTTAACCAATCTCTTTGTCGAGCCCATGCGTACTTTTGTCCCTCCTTATCAGAGGCGGCGCCGGTTCATGCCTCCCGGGCAGATGAAACCCTACCTAGGCTCGATGAAGAAGGCGAGAAACAACCCGGTAAAATGCTTCCGTGGCAGCAGATGGCGGGAAGACGCTCTGACCCGTGGCCATTGTCACCGGTATCTCACAGCGGCTCAGATGCAATGAAATAGCATGCAATGCCTTCGAGGGTAAGACTCGCTCTTTGTGTAATGCTCAAGTGCTTTTGGACTGCGAGTCGATAGGCCAAAGACATCGAAGGGTTGGCGGACGTTTCCATTAGGAATGCCTTTCGAGGGGCGTAATGGCGCATCGGCGATGGTCCTGCGAGGTGAGAGGAACCTCCATCAGATGGAGATCGAAGCGAGATCGACTCGAACCAAAGAATCCACTTCTCAGTGCGTGTATTTGTGTAATCTCTCAAGAATGAATGGATTTGGCAATGGGTCGTTGATATATTAGTGTTGTAGGTATAACCAGCAGCTGGGCGTAAACATTGGGGAGCCAAGGCTTTCCAAGGAGACTTTCTGAGTTGCTTCGCCGCCTTCAAACAAGCCACCTGACACCTGTGCAACTTGTACAATAGACCGTGTGTTAGTCTTCTTGGGTCATTATAATGTATTTTTGAGCGCTTCATTCCACTCGATAGCCTCTATCACCCACTTTGTCACCTCCATACCTCATCTCCAACCTACATGAACCAACTCGGCCGGTCCGATTCACCCCCCAATGTCCTTCCAAGTCCCGCAGAATGTCCCTTCATTCACCAGCTCTCAACGCACGCATGAAGACACTTACTGGCGGCAGAAGCACAGTGGTAATGGACATGCAAAAGGAGGACCTGCCGGTGCAATCACATCCAAGATCAACGTCATCTTTGGCGAAGACAAGGACCTGCCCATGTACAAGGACAAACCACACTTTCCCTCGAGTCGGCGGAGAGGCCGAGGTTTCTTGCGGCGGAAAAGAGTGCTGGCCTTGATCGGTTCCGCATCACTACTATTTCTCTGGTGGACGGGATGGTTACCTTGGAGCTCCCGCCAGTTCTACGACCCAGCTGCCCACCAACATTCTTTCTTCCACGCCGAAGACTGGTCGGAGCAGAGAGAGGCTGTGAAGGAGGTATTCAAGACATCTTGGGAAGGCTACGAGAAATATGCTTGGGGAATGGATGAATACCAACCCCTCTCGAGGAAGGGAAAGAACATGGTTGAAGGTGGCATGGGTTGGATCATTGTGGACGCTTTGGATACTGCCATGATGATGAACTTGACCTCGCATGTCGCCAAAGCAAGAGAATGGATATCTACCTCGCTTTCTTACACCGCCCATCACGAAGTCAATACCTTTGAGACGACTATTCGCATGCTGGGCGGATTGTTATCAGCATACTACCTGTCAACAGCCTTCCCACATCTCGCACCGCAGCGGGACGACGATGTGAACCAACCTGGAGAAGACCTATACATCGAGAAAGCGACAGATCTTGCAGACCGTCTCCTCGGCGCCTACGACTCACCTTCGGGGATCCCATATGCGTCGGTGAACTTGAACACCGCCCAAGGAGTTGGTTCACATGTCGATGGAGGTGCTTCCTCTACCGCTGAAGCGGCCACTCTGCAACTTGAGATGAAATATCTCGCCAAGATCACAGGCGAGCCAATCTACTGGACGAAGGCCGAGCACGTCATTGAGGTCATCGAATCCCAGAAACGCGAAGATGGCCTCTTGCCAATCTACATATACCCCGCCACGGGAGAATTTCGAGGCGAAAATATACGGCTGGGATCTCGAGGCGACAGCTATTACGAATATCTGATCAAACAGTACTTACAAACAAGCAGCGTGGAGGCGGTGTACTTGGATATGTGGGAAGAGGCACTCGAGGGGATCAAAAAACACTTGATCACTTATTCTGAACACGCATCATTAACCATTCTCGCCGAAAGACAAAATGGACTCAGCGCCCCTCTGACTGCCAAGATGGATCATCTAGCGTGTTTCATGCCCGGGACAATAGCCCTCGCGGTCACCGAAGGACAGACAGTTGAGCAGGCGAAAGCCAGACTCGGGAGCAAGTGGACAAAGCGACATGACGAGAACCTCAAACTCGCTGAGGAGTTGATGAAGACGTGCTGGGGCATGTACAAAGTTACACCGACTGGGCTCGCGCCCGAGATATGCTATTTCCATACTGACAATCCTGCTCCACAATGGCGGGGACATGTTGACCCTGCTTGGACACCACCACACGCCGCCGAGCTCTCCGACGATATCGATGCGGACTGGCGCTCTGATTATGACATCCATTCAAATGATGTGCACAATCTCCAGCGACCGGAAACTATCGAATCCCTCTTCTACATGTACCGCATCACCAAGGATAGGAAGTACCGACAATGGGGTTGGGAAATGTTCGAAGCCTTCCGCGAGCACACCAAGGTTGTCGACGAACTGACAGGCAAAGTGTACGCGTACACCTCCCTGGACACCGTAATGGAGAACCCCGTCCGAGAGAGGAAACGGCGCGATAATATGGAAAGTTTCTGGTTGGCCGAGACGCTCAAGTATTTCTATCTGCTCTTTTCAGATGACGACTTCTTCCCTCTTGACAGCGTTGTTTTCAATACGGAGGCTCATCCACTGCCAAAGTTCGACATATCAGGAAGCAAAGTGTTTACAACAGGCTGGCGCCGGAGCAAGGGGATGGCCTCTCAGCAGAAACATGAGGGCAGCATGGTCGAGGATGACTATGCTCAGCTCAAGAGTGTTCGTGTCGGGGGTGGCGTACGTGTCGACGAGAATGGAAAAAGCATCCCATCCGACACGGAGACTGGAGAGAAACAGATCCCTGCTGTTGGAGAAAATGAGCATGACTCTGCTGAAGACCAAGCAGCCCCAGAACTTTCAGATGGCACGAACTTCGAACACCAATCCCCTGGACAAAGTGAGGGTATCGGCAAAGAGGAAAGCGATTAAGGTGGACTGTGAGAGGAATCAATCATCGTGCCTTGATGTGGAAGCTCGTTTGCATCATTGGTGTGGTTGGATAGGGTCGGTCTGGCGATTGTCATTGGTCGCTTCGCATATTGATTTTCGGGGGCGCTGTACCAAAATCTGGTTGTGGTTGCATGAAAACAAGGCTGTGCGTGCAGTGGTGGTCTTCACGGTAGGGTCTCAATGGACAGGAGCATTTTGGAGGTGGGGTTTTGGAAAAAGCAACCATAGAATAGAAGGCGTTTGGAATAACCGAATGATCAATTTTTCGGCTTTGTGATGTTGGAATCGCAATCCCTCACGCACTCTCTTTCTTTTATTCTGATCTCCTGGATCTCTGTTCATTCGCCGAAGATATCATGGTTTCCGTTGCACAGTCTCCTCCACATCAAAACTGCGCCCTACCCATCACAGAGGATGGCGAGCACAGCTTTTGTCTCGCACGGGAGAGTGGCCTTCGGTCTCCTTCTTTCGATGAGCAGTCGCATTCGGCCTGGCGTCGGTGGTCGTCCTCGTAGATCAGGAAACCGAATGCGCCAGTCTCGTACTTGTATTCGATTGGTCGCCGGGACGAGCAGGTCGTTGTGCACGGCACCATCAATCGCCTCTAGGCACTTACTCGCGCTCGGCACAGGTACATGCACGAGAGTTGGCCCTGTGTTTTCTCAGCACAGGCTCCGGGCGTGGGTCGTCCATGGTCTCTCAAATGTAGCGTCGGTCGAGGGCATAAAATTCGTAGCTCGTAAGGCGGGAGTTTCGTCAGTCGTTGACTCTCATGTCAAGCCCGGCCGGTTCGTTCTGTCGTCCGTGGAGGGCCCACGAAAATAGTAGTAGGGGTGGTGGTGGTAGTCTGATGAACGGGTTTCAAAACTTGGGCCCTCTTTTGCGGGCGGTATATTTCGAGTCCGTCTTGACCACTTTGCCTTTATTCCTCATCTTCTCCTTCTTCTTCATGACCCAGGCCTTGCCGCCCTTGACCTCCTTGCCGCCGCCCTTGTGCGCCGTCATCTTGGCCTCCCTGACCCTCCTGCCGTCCTCGATGTCGACGTTGTCCATGTTCCGGACGCGGTCTGTGATGTCGCCGCCCCCGACGCTGAGGACGAGGTAGGTCTTGACGTTCTTGGTGCCGCCGTCGTCCTCGAGGATGCCCGCGCCGAACCCGGCGCGCACGGCGGCCTGGGCGACCATGGCGCGCTGGGCGTCGTTCTTGGGGTAGAACTGCAGGACGGCGCGCGCGCCGCGCCGCAGCGCCGCGTACAGGCCGTCGAAGAACCGCCGCAGCCGGCCCTCGGGCGACACGCCGCTCGACTCGGCGTTGCACAGCCACTGCACCGCCGAGATGCTGATGGCGGCGTCGAACGCCCCCGCGCGAAACGGCACGCCCTGGCCCATGTCCGCCAGGAACAGGTCCCCCTCCACGTCCTCCCGCTGCAGCGCGATGTCCAGCATGCTCGGCGATATGTCCATGCCCACCCACAGGTGCCCTTCCTCCGACAGGATTTCGCCCGAGAGACCCGACCCGCAGCCGACGTCGAGGATGAACGATGGGGAATCGAGGTCGAGGAGCTCCAACGCGCGATGGGTCATCGAGGCCTGGATCGACTGGATCCGCGACGACGTCGTGTATTTCGCCGACGCCGTGTCGTTGTAGTACAGGTCCGGAGGGAGGAGATCTTCGGGGCGAGACATGGTTGCGACTTTGTGGTGAGGGAAAACGTAGATAAAACGGGAAATGGATTTGTTCCTGAGTCGTTGTCTGTACCTCGTCTAAGGTGCCAAAGGGCACGAGAATGGAACTCAATCAAGGGCGGTGCATGTTGCAGCGCAGTCTGTTGCGGTGAGAAGCACACGAAAAATAAATTTCTGGTGGGGAAACAAAATGCACAACTCCGCAGTGATGCGATGGTGGACGTTGTGTGGGGGCCTTTTGCCATCGGGGCTTCAGCCTCGTTGAAACACTCCCTTGGCCTGCTGAGCCTCGCTGGAAAGCCACATGGCAAAACAAGTAGACTTACAGGTATGCTTTGAAAGGACTCACTCCAGCTCTCCAATTTGACGTTTGCGCCGTACAAGGTCTACTTCTAGCAAGATAGACGAAATCAGGATACGACCTGCTCAAATTTCGTGCATTGTGTATGTACATATATAGCCTTTTCTTCTATTGCCGAGTAACGGAGTAAATCGAACCGCCTGGTATGCGCCGATTTCCACTTTGCCGACGACCCGGTAAATTGACCAAAGGCGAATATGAGTGAGTATAACATGTAAAGTTTTGGTTCCGGATGACAAGCCCCCAAAACACCAAAGGTGAGCGAATATGTATATTTCCGACGATGCCCACAATGGTTGTTGCATTTAATCCTTGGTGTTGCGGTCCGAATCGGCCACCACAGCATCGACGACGTCCTTGTTAAGACCCTTCCAGTTCTGCTTGCCCCAGAAGAACCACAGAGCCAACGCAACAAGCTGGACGAAGGCATTAATTGGGAGGGCATAGTTCATGTCCGAGCCGTTGATGGGCAGGAAAGATGGGAAGCAGAGGAAGACCATGATGTACGCCGAGTAGATGACCGCAAAGACGTTGATGTAAATACCCCAGCGCCCCAGCGACCAGCCTGACGGCTCCACCCTCCCTCTAAACCGAGCCCAGATCATACAGGCAATTGCCATGAGGTACGATTGGTACAGGCCGAGGGTGGAGAGCGCCACGATAACGTTGAAGGCAATGCTGCTGCCGATGTTGAGGAGAGCCAGCAACATGACGATGAAGACTGGCAACCAGACTGAACGCACGGGAATGCGGTGCTTCGGGTCGATGTACGAGAAATAGGCCGGGAGTGCTCCGTCTCGAGACCATGCCCAGGTCAATCGGGATGCAGATGCAATACTGCCCAGACAGCAGGCCAGAGTGACGATCATCGACAGGCCCACCATTGCGGAGCCCGCTCTTGTGGACTGCGTCGCATTGATGCAGATGAGTAGCAGAGGATAACCCGAAGAGAGGAGGTCGTTGACATCTCCTGCGCAGAACAGGAAAACCAGCACCATGCCGTATGCAAGCGCTCCGTTCATGACAATACTCCAAAACATGGCTCTCGGCACTGCATGTCGTGCCTTTCGCACCTCTTCAGACATATGGACTGCTCCGTCGAAACCTGTAGCCGGTTGCTTAGCATTCCGAAAGCCAAATATTTCTTGGTATATTATGTGAACTCACCCACGAAGCCCCAGGTAGCAGTAAGCATTCCGAGATTGAATGAGACATACTCGTTGTTCCAGCCGGAAAGAGCCGACTTCTCCAAAAACACAAAGTCTGCGGTGTGGCGAGGGGCGAGGGTGACCAAGACCGAAACAAAGACCACCCACATGATGATGTGCAGAAGACCAGAGAGCAACTCGATCCAGGGGATTGTCCAAAAAGCGTACTGGTTCATCAAGCCCTGGACAAGAAGCAAGGCGTAAATGATCAAGGTCACATGCCATCCGTGTGGAATGTAAGTTGGATAGTTGGCGATGACAAGTGCCTGAATCATGAGAGCAGCGATGTTGGCCACGCCAGCCAGGAGCGAGATCCAGGAGAACCAGGTGATCCAGCCTTGCATCCAGGTGATGAATCGTCGCTGAGACGGAGGGGCGAGGTAGTGAGTCCAGTGGTACTGGGCACCTGCGATAGGCTGTACTGAAGCCATCTCAGCCATGGATGCGACCTGACACAGCACACCTGAGATGACAACCAAGTAACCAAGGGAGAGAGAGCGAGGCCCGCCATTCCAGAAGAAGTATGCAATGTTTCTATCTGCGATTAGCTTGCGGCTTGATTGTGACCATGGAGAAGATCGTACGATGCAATGGCCTCCCAGGACGACATGTAACTGAGCGCGAAAAAGAAAATCTGAGCGAAGCTGAAAATTCTCTGTGAACCACCGTTAGCTTTGCGCAGTCACAATTTTCGAAACCGAGGAATACTTACTCGAACTCTTGTTGACGTGTTTCTGGTTCCTTCAGTCCTTTGGCCGCCATACGCCTGAGCGTACTCTCTCTTCTCATCTTCAATGTTGACCTGAGGGGTCTTGACCGGTAGCATCTCGTGAGACTCCATCTTGGGCGCAGGTTACCACACAGACGAGCCTTGGGATGTCAAGAGGCGCTGGAAGATGAGGGAGAAGAGATGAAGAATGGGAAAGAGCGACAGGTCCAACGAGCTGCAGGTTATGGCTTGCGGCTTGCCGATGGTCCCCTGAAAAAACGTGGATAGTTTGCCGAGATTGGGTCTAACGCACGCGATGGCAAGCAAGCGTGCAGAGAGTCGAGAAGCGTAGACGGAAGAAAAGGGAGGGTGATAAGGGGACTGAAAACAAAAGGCCTCGATCGGTTCACGCCTCGCGTCGAGTACAAAGGCTCGGTTAGAGGAGTGGCGGCCAGTCTGGGGAAATCCCACCAATCAAGCAGAGAGTGTCGGAGGCAGAACAGACGGTGAAGCGAGCTATAGAGGATCCCCGACACTGGGCAGCACGAGCAGGGCGTTGTCGAGGAGCATGGCTGCATGGTCGTATGGCTGCTGCTGAGGGTTCGGGTGGCTGCACAATTTCCCCACCACATGTACAAGGTACGAGTACTCGTAGGTACTCCGTATACTCGTAGTGCTGTACCTGTGGGTTTCACCAAAAGTGCGCCTGTGGACGAGGGGCGAGCCCTTACCTGAAAGCGATCACCAGGACCGAGGGGCAGAGTTGACATGCATGGCGTGAGCATGGGTCACAAACCTGGACGGAGGACGGGGTGCCCGAGAGGCCCAGACAAGGACGATAAGGTCACTTCGAGGCAGCTCTTCGTCTAAAGACGCCATTGGCGGCACTCGGCAAACATGACAGTGGTTTGATAGTACCCAATAAGGTCGATAAGTCGAGAATGGATATCTACAAGGGTCGAAAACTAGACGGACTCGGGGCGGGGAATGAAGGGTGGAATGTGGGGCGGGCCGCTATACGTGCAAAAGTGGGGACGGATCCATGTTCCCCGAAGGTGTCGATCACTTTGTATTATGCCATCTAAGGTCTAGAGGCATATGCTGCCAAGTACTGCCAGCATTGCAACCTCGAGCTCTTACCCCAACTCGAGGATTGGGATTGGCTGCTTGTCCATCACTTCAAGGACATGATAAGGCCAATTCCATCCTACAGCTCATCTCATACTGTTCAATCACCTCTACACGATCCTCACTGTCCATCAAAGTGATGGGAATGGGCACTTGTGTACTGGCGGAATCCCAATTCCTGCGACAAGACTATTACACACTACAATCCTGCCGCTTACTGCAACCTACTACCTACTTGGCAGCCGCTATCAACGGCGCTACCTTGGACCAGGGTAGCGTTACGGGCATCTAGTGTCAATCCTCCAACACTTTGTCAAATGGCCCGCTTTGTTCCGCTAGCCTCGTGCCAACAAACTCCCAAGTACAACTCTGTGTTCAGTGAAATCTCCTAGAGTTCTGGGCAGCATGTCCGGGCCAGAAGCGTCGTCGGCTCCTTGTGGGCCTGCCATGTTTGGTCCTCAAATCAGAGAAAGAAACAAGACTGTTTATCAGCGTGGCCCTTGCGTCGAGCAGCAGGATCGGCAAAGTCGTAGAGAACTGATGGGCAAAGCTGAAGTCTGGACGGGACTTGAATATGCGCTGCCTTGCCAGGCTTCTAGCCTGACGCCCCCTGGGACGCGAGGCATTTTCGCCCTCAATTCAACTGGCCAGCAATTTCTTGCCAGACATTCTGGGTGGATTGGCATCAAGCCAGCCTGGCAAGCAGCGGAGACGGCCCTGCGCAGTAGCTACGGGCACCTGGTACGGAGCCCCTGATAGTGAGTCAAGTGCCTTGTCGATGCTGAGAGGCTTGAGTGGCTGGATGATCAGGACGTGAAGCCACGAGTACCGAGTACTTCCTTGCCATGATCAAGTTTTCGCTCTGTTGGCTCGTGTCTCAACTCTGAAATCACTTACCAGGGCGGTCAACTCTACGACGTTTACTGTGTCGAATGTGATCAATATCTCTGAGCTTGACTGCCACTCCAAAACATCTCCTGACATAGAGCCTTTCCGCTCGAACTCCGTCTGAGCAGTTCGCTTGCAGTCGGTGCAAAGGGTCGGAGACACTTCTGGCCTGGTCGCCCAGTTCGGTAAGTGAATCAAATTGGCGTCGCTCCCAGAGGACAAGCCATGCCGGTTGCATTGGTCCTTTGCATTTTGCATTAGCAGTCCCTGTTCCTGAGTCTTGCCAGGGGTAAAATTGGCTAAGACTTTAATTCACGTATAGGGTCACGAACTACTGTATGTTTGGGCTGCGCGGCCGTCGGCTAGGGAGTCCTCAAGGCACTGACTGCTCGGGATACCGTGCCTTTCGTTTCTGGGACTTCCACCAAAACGACGCCCATCTTGGCCTGCAGAGATATACCATACCCTCCCCCAGGGGTCGTCCGCTCCTCTGTTACCAGGACTTCGAAGGAGGGTGTAGATAGCCATCTCACACGCTCAGCCTTCTCACCATGTCGGGCAGCGATACCGGCGATGGTGGTATCTATGAACCTCTCCTCCCGCCACTCCAAGACATCACCCCCCAGAATCGAGGTCCAATTGCACTGGCGACCGCAGTGACCCTGCTTGTCATTTCTTCGTTGACAGTGGGCGTCAAACTATGGACAAGATATGCCACAACCCGAAACTTCGGGTCAAACGACATCGTGATGTTTGCAGCTATTGTAGGACCAAATTTCCTTGGGATTCATCGGGACAGCCTGTTAACTCAGCTTTGGCGCAGACATTGGCATACGGACAAACTATATCTATCTCCCTCGCGGTAGACAAGGGACTGGGCCGACACCAAACGGCGGTCAAGGAACCAGATCTCATCGAGCTCAGTAAAGTAAGGAGCTCCCCATCATGCGTGCTTCTACAGTTGGAAGATGCTGACGTGAGACCAGTTGTTTTATGCCTCCAACATTCTTCTCGTCCTGGCGTTGGCTTGTGCCAAAGCAGCGGTAACTCTGCTTATCATTGCTATCAAGCCGCTACGATGGGTTATGTTTGCTTGCTATGGGATGCTCGGCTTCGTCGCAGTCTGGGGGGTGGCCAGCGTCTTCGTGGTGGCCTTTCAATGTTCACCGAATCATTGGTCACTCGGCCCAAGCTCTGGCGCTGATCCACAAACTTGTATCGATCAATATGCGATGCAAATTGCACTACGAGCCATGGACATCGCCAGCGACGTAGGGATTGTCCTCCTGCCTGCGCTAATGATGCGGTCGGTCCAAGTTTCCAACGGCAAGCGATGGATGGTGGTCACACTGTTTGCCATCAGATTAGCGTAAGTGGTCCCACGCCTGCTTCCCGTAGTTGTCTGACAGAACACTTACAGCACACCGGTATTCACTGCAGTCTCGATCGTCGCATATGATGATTTCTACCATTCAGTTCCCCAGGATCGCACTTGGCACGCAGTCACACCCTCGGTTTGGACTTCCTGTGCCTTGAACCTGTCCATCGTCACAGCCTGTATCCCTTCGATCAAGCGCTTCCTTGCCGACTGGGCCGCCGGCCTCAGTGCCGTGACCATATCTGAACCTTTCGAATTGGAGCATTCTGCTGGCAAGACCGGTGCTGGTCTCACGTACGCCGCGGGCAGCGGCATGGGAAGCAAGATCGCCACGAAATTGGGACTGTCATCCACCAGCAAGGCTGAAATTACCTCGACGGTACGCAGCCGGAGTGACAATGAAGACGACGAGACGGTTCGGAACACGAATAGAAACCGCTCGCGCGGCGCCGGCGGGCGGCAACCGGACAACACCTCAGAAAGCGTCAAAGGCCTCACGGACGGAGTGATTATGCACTCGATCGATTACCGTGTCGAGTACGAAGACCACACGACGGATCATCGCGATTGGAGCAGTCGCAGCAGCGGCGGCCGCTGATATCCAACGACGCGAGACCAACGAGGGCCCAAACGTAGCTTTACTAAAAAGAGGAGGGACGGATCTATCAATGTACAACACGATACGAAGTTCAGAGAGGGCAGGGTATATATCAGCGCAAAAGGAGCGAATCTGGTCTTGTAGATTCCGGGTCGGAGACGCTGGCCCCTTATAAGCGAGCGCATCAAGGGTCGGCAGTCTGTCAATATCTCTTATCCAACACTTTTTGGTTCATTGATTGTTGCGCTGGACGAGACTCGGGGTGGATGAGCTGTCGACGAAATAAACCTCATGATCCGGTAGTCCCCGGTACTGGTATATTCTCATTTGTAACAGAATCCACCAGGAAATGGAACTGCGGCCGAGGCGCGGCGCCGACTGTAAAGCTCCGCTGCTGCCGCCGGTGTCGCCAAAGTGGCCTCTCTAGCAAACATGCCAAGAACCCCCTTTGAGGCAGAATCGACGTCACTTTGCGCAGGCTCTGCGCCGTGCATTCTTTGTCAAAGTGTCATCTTGTGAGAGAGGCATTGAACAGATTGGTCTCAACGCCACCTCGTTCTGCCGTACCTCCCCTCCATGGCCCTTCCCATCTTCACTCCTACCTCCCTAATTCTGGCGGTCGCCATTGCGGACTCTTGATTTCGGACCAGAGCAAGTCGTGCCCCTGCGCACACAAACGAATCATGTGGATTCTTCCCCTCGTGGGGTACACCGGGCTCATCCTAGGGTTCGCATTCCTCACTCTCTCCATTGCTTCGGGTCTCTATTACCTCTCCGAGCTCGTCGAAGAGCACACCGTCCTCAGTGCCAAACTCCTCAAGCGCCTGATCTATGCCGTGGTAGTCGCACAGTTACTGCTCTGGCTCGTCGATGGATTCCCCTGGTATCTCACCTTGTTGGGCGTGGCCAGTCACGGTGTCTACGCGACGAACCTGCGGCATTTCCCCATCGTGAAGCTGTCGGATCCCTTTTTCCTTACGAGTTGTGCCTTGGTCATCCTTAACCATTGGTTATGGTTCAGACACTTCAGCGACGCAACTACAAGAGGAGGTCCATATCGGGGTGCACCACCGAGCAGCAGACGAGATTGGTACTCGGCACCTCCCATATATGACCAACCCACTTTCACCGAGATTGCATCATACTTTGGGCTGTGCGTGTGGCTCGTTCCATTTGCCCTATTCGTCAGCCTCAGCGCCGGAGAGAATGTTTTGCCAAGCATGGGATCCGAGTATGCCACGGGCGAAAGAGAAGGTGTTGGTTTCAAGAAGGGCCACAGAAGGAAGAATACAGGAATGGCCAAGGCGGCTGTTCATGCTACCAGAGATTGGGTTACGGAGACGGGTGCTGTGATGGGGTTCTGGCACGCCGACAACGTCCGGCCAGTATAGTGATAAGAGCTGCATCCGAAACCCTGCCGGACCCAGCATCAATTGCTATGTCTGAATGTGAACGCACCATCTCAAGCTCTGGGGGACAAGTGCATCCTAAAATCATTCCACGCCACCGAGCGCCCAACAGAGGATGTGACGAAGCTAGGAATAAAGCAGCAAAGCCCGGCTATAAAGTCAGCGTCACCGGTTGTCCGAGCCAGAGACCAATTCTACAAGGTCTTCGCAGCGGTCTGGCCGACGAGCAGGAGTGGCGCGGACATTCCATGATCCTTAACAGTCACGGTTCGCGGTCCATGTGAAAGTGCAGGTGCTCGGTTCTCTGCCATATAGCTGCTTGCTTCCACGAAGCTCCTTGCGAGGGATACACCGTCCCATTGGGACCGGTGTCAGGGATTTACGAGACACTGGGATCGAGAGTTGGGTCCATCACCACTCCGAGGATCGAGGCTTTATATGGCCATGGAGCCTGCTGAGCGGGTGGCATATCCCTCGGACCGAGCAAGAGGTTGGAGCTATGAGATATGAGGGGATCATCTGTCCAGGTAATTGCGGCACGCGCGAGAAGCTAGATTTCAAATGATTGGCAAGAAGAAGCATGAGGATGACAATGATGAAACCCGTTCCCGATTCGAAGTTATCACACAGATTAGATCCTACCCAATACACCGCTGGCGCTGTAGAAACACCAGCTAGACGAAACAGACATGTACCGAGCAGGGCATCGCAGCCCAAATATACCCCAGACCCGGTATTCTGTAACTAGCTAGCCAGAGCCCAAAGCCCAAAGCCCGAATCCCGAATCCCAAATCCCGCAGTCGACGAGATAGTAACGTACCTACCTACCTACCTAGTAATACATAAGAAAACAACGTGGGAGCATCACACACAATCATGCCCAGTTCTCCCTTTAGCACCGATCGCCAGTCGGGTCTGATTGTGACTTTGATCCGACTTTCGTCTCCGATCTCGAGACCGATTTTCTTCTTTTTGGGGTCCACGTCGCTCTAAAATTGTGATTGTAAACCCTCTCCGGCCCTGGGGTCCTTACTCTCCCCCCCCCTCCCCCCCCCTCTCTCTCTCAGGGGTTTTCTGCTCAAGAACCGGTCTCGGCGCCGGCGCCCACGTCGGGCCAGAACCGCCTCTCGACGTCCAAAATATGCTTCCACACGGCGAGGTAGACGTCCAGCTTGCGGTTGACGGCGTCCTCGCGCTCGGCCAGCAGGTCGGTCAGCTCGGCGATCTCGGCGACAAAGGCCTCGAACGCGGCGCTGGTCCAGTTGGGGATGAAGGCGTCGCGGAGCGCGCCGCCGTCGAGGTCGCTCGCGTGGGTGGTGGGCGGGGACTCCATGCGGTCCGTGCTCGTGGTGGTGGGTTCCGCGTCGTCGAGAGCGGTGCTTTTGTCGGTCGCTGCGGCGCCGTCGCTGTCGTTGTGCAGCGTGTTGACCTCGCTGCCCTCGAGTTCCGACATGACGCCTTCGGACTTGGTCGTCTCCTTCGCGTCTCCGCCCACGTCCAGTGCCGCGAGAGGCTTCTCCCCAAACGACCTGGCGTAGTTCCACGCGCTCAGGTACACGGTCTCGGTCGCCCACAGCACGACCATGCCCTCGAGCAGACTCATGCTGGGGTCGGTCCAAAACGCTCGAAACAGGTCGATGTACTGCTTGGTGGCCTGCTCGGCCGTGAACATGCCGTCGGCGCGTGTTGGCGCGTCCAACTCCAGGCCGTACTTGGCAGCGGTGTCGGCGAAGAATTTCAACTCGGTGTGGATGTTCTGCAAGGCCCCGGTCAGGCAATTCACGATGCGCCAACGCAAGGACGTCGATTTCTCCGTGACGTTGACGTAGGGCAGGTCGACACGGGCGATGAGAGAGCCGATGAAGCCGATGTAGGATTGCGCGTAGAGCCGGTCTTGGGAGAGCCAGCGCGATAAAGTGTGTTTGGGAAGACTACCTTGCCCCGCCAGACGGAGGAAGGGATGTTCTGTTGCTTGGGCGAATTGTTGCGGGGCGGAAGTTAAGAGGATGCTTGTGAGCGATGGTGGAGGGCCTGTTGCGATCGGTGGCGACGAGACATATGGATGGTTCTGGGCCAGTGGGTGAGAAGGCGGGTTATGAACGTGGCTGCTTGGGTAGAAGTAGGTCGTGGTGGTGTTATAGGCGTGTGGGGTCGCTTGTTGGACGTTGTAGCTCTGAGGATGGCTCCCCTGGCTCATGACTCCAGTCGTTCCGGAAGAGACGGACATCTGATCGCTCATGGTGGACTGGCGATGGATGTAAGGCCCAGGCGGGCCCTGGTGAGGGTAGTAATGGGGTGAATTGTTCCACATGATTGCAAACTGGCTGGGGGGAGTGTGTTCTGCAAGGCTGAGAGTAAGACAAGGCTCCTGAATCCAAAGAGTTCGGTCCTTTTCGGGATCAATGCGTGCTACAGCCTTGTCCTGAACTCATCAAATGCAATACGGAGGCCAAAGACCCTGTCTAAAGTGGTGTTGCAACAAGGGTCGCCGCGATTCCAAAATTCAACCCTTCTGTACAACGCTGGGGCGCACGTGGTCTGCACTGGCAAGTGGAGCTTTGCCGAGATTTGAGAACCAGAAAGCCCCAAGAGCTGGGCAGAAGCAGGTCAATGGACAGTGGTAGACCAAGTGATAAGACCCCAAGGTTGGCGGTTTGTGGTGAATGGGTAGTATGCCAGAAGTCGAGAAGGAGGAAGTGACAAAGAGTCCTGGCCTCGCGGGATCCTTGAGGCTCGGGACGAAGAGGCGGTGGAGGTGGGGGATCCCCTGGGCTCCCTGGGCTCGAAATACGAGGATCCGGTATAGCTCACAAGGTCGTTCGTATCTGTCGGCTATCGGGTCTCCAGCTCGCCTCGCGTCGACGACCGACAATGTCGGCGCCCGTATCCAGTTCTTTCGAGGGCGCCCGAAATTGCGGTCCAAGAGCCGCGAAACAGGGCGTTTCTTTGGCGCAAAGGCGGGAAGCAAGGGCTGCAAGACTCTGGCGATCAGGTCGGTTGCGGTCCACCACAATTACGTACAGCGACTCGGTTGCTGAAACGTCCTTGTTGTTGTCCTCCTCTTCCCAAAGAAAGTGTCTGCTTCTTCTTCCCTGAAGATATAGAGCCGTCACAGCTGAAATCCCCGAGGTGTAGTTCTGTAGCGGTGGGGGCTAGCTCCGGCGAGCTTCGCGACGGTCTTTCTCTCCCTGCGATTCGCCCAGGCGTCTCCGTAAACACCCAGAAAAACCCAAATCCGGTCAGTCGGGTATCGAAATCAAAATGCCGCCGTTGATAGGGTCAACCCAAGGTTTCGGTGGATCGGGGACCTCTGTCAAACGTTTCCGTGATAAAGGATCTCGGAGACGTCCAGAGCAGGTCAATCTTGCTTTGCGCGATAAGGAATCAGAAGAGAAGGAAACGTCCAGGACCAAAAGTAGCCAGAGCAAGTTGGTCTTTTATAGCAGGGATCCGGGAGAAGAGTTTTTCTAAGGTAAGAGGCCACCAACGTCAAGGTAGCTCCAACGACGCAGAGACGACGAACCGAAAGTCTGGTGACGTCGGCGATATACACGCTTCTGCGTCCACTGGTTGAACTCTTGGTGGTGTCTTCGGAGGCCTGACAGTCGATTCGATCAATCAGTAACGTCCCTGAAGAATATAAAAAAGGGGGGACAAGATCATCCAAGCTCGACCGAAAACAATGCCTCGAGTTTTCCTCATCACCGGCACGTCGACCGGCTTCGGACGCGACTACGCCCAAGAAGTCCTGGACCGCGGTGACATTGTGGCTGCCACCGCCCGCGACCCGTCGCAGCTATCCTTCGCCAACACCACCCCCGAGACGTACCTGGCGCTGCAGCTCGACGTCACGGACAAGGCGTCGATCAAGCAAGCCTTTTCCGAGACGTTGAAGAAATTCGGCCGCGTCGACGTGGTGGTCAACAATGCCGGGTACGGCCTCTCGGGCTGTTTCGAGGAGTGCACCGACGAGCAAATCCGGCAGCAGATGGAGATCAATTTCTTCGGGCTGCTCGACGTCACGCGCGAGGCGCTGGAGACCATGAGGGACAAGCAGAAGCCCCAGGGCGGCTTGATCCAGCAGATCACCAGCATCGGCGGGCAGAGGGGCGTGCCCTTCTTCAGCATCTACTGCGCAAGCAAGTGGGCGGTTGAGGGCTTCACAGAGGCTCTCAGCCATGAGGTGAAGCCCGAGTGGGGGATCAAGTTCACCCTGGTCGAGCCGGGCGGGTTCAGGTACGTTGTGTCGTCTTTCTTGCCTGTGCTGTTTGCTGTTGATCATCATGCTCTTCTCTCTCCTACATGCTCCGGTGCTGACACTCCTCCAGAACAGACTGGGCTGGCCGCTCAATGACCTTCGCCACCCGCCATCCCGCGTATGACCGTGCGTCTCTTCTCACCTTGTCCCCTTCTCCTTCCATCACTAACAGTCACTCCAGATCTCAACGCTGAGAAACACATGACCGCCCGCCACGGCACGCAGGCAGGAGACCCCAAGAAGGGCGCAAAGGCCATGTATGAACTGGCCATCATGCCCAACCCGCCGTTACGGGTCGTCGTCGGCACCGACGCCTACAAGGCGGTCATGAACAAGCTGGAGCAGTACGAACAGAACTACACAAAATATGCCGCACTCAGTAACTCGACGGATGTGGACGGCTATGTGGCGCCGCAATGAAAGGGTAGTCAATACGGATGCATCTTGTTTTATACCGATGGGCAGACTTGATAAAATGGATCGAGATTCGGTACGGCTCATGTAGGGCAGTAGGAGAACTCCAGGATGGTGCATTTCACCTAGATTTCCGGACAGACTTCCTTTTTTCTCTCCCTATCCAGCTGTATTCACTGCTTCCATTGCCCCATGCCCCCTTCCGATGTAACTGCCTTTATATGGCAAGCGTGAATCCAGGTTCCGTGCGGTCTTTTGGCCAATCTTTGGTTGACAGTATAAAAAATGGTCCGTAATGTACATATACACATTGGTGTGAAATAAGTGAAACAACAAACACAATCATCTGGCCCATCAGTCAATGAACTCATACCGATCCCATCCCTAGCCGGTTTTTGTCCGTGCCCGCATTCATCCCCGTCACGAGCACTGAGATCATCATGGCGCCGTCGCATTGCGCTTGGCCTATATCTCAAGGCCAATCCAACCCGCCTCCGTTGCCTCAACGCCGAAACCCGTACACACAGAAAAGACGCCCAGTCTTTTGGAAACCTGCAATGTCCCTTCGTATAGAGTGAATTAAAAAGAGAGAGGGGTAAAAAATGATGCAACACGAGGGGTATCTGTAACGTGCCCAAAGCAAAATGCTAGAATCGGATAAAACCCCGGCAGCATGCCCTGTTAATGCTTTTTGACTGTGCCATGTTTTTGCTGTTCGTATTCGAACTCCACATCGAAGCCCGAACAATATCTGTAGCGTCATATTTGCTTTTCCTTTCCGTCTGGTTGGCGAGCAAAAATCGTTGTTGCTTAAGAGTGCTCTGTATCATACTAAAAGACGTTTCAAACCCGTTGCTGTTGTTGCTGTGTAGCATTGGCCAGTTGGTGCTTCAATGAATTAATCTCTTCCTGCATGTTGTTCATCCGTTGTTCGAGGCTCGTCACATATGCCCATAGTCGCTCTTCTTGCGCAAACATGGCTTTGGACGTTTCTCCGCTGCCATGGCCGGAATGACCATGACTCGACAGACTGTTGCTGTGAGATGACAAGGGGCCACTCCCACTCATGTGAGTAGGTGGCCCACTAGGCTGAGTGGGAGGATGCGCCGGCCCGCCTTGACTGGGCAAGGTATATCTCGCATCCGGCGGGTTTAACGCATGAGGAGGTGGTAACTGAGGACCACTCGAGGGCACGCCCAGAGACGACCCTGAGCCACCGCCGGATCGTGCGTGCGCTTGGGGATAAAAGGTCGTGCTTGGTGATCGGTTCCTGCCAATGCTGCCGTCGCCTCCAGGGAGTTGACCAACCCTCTGCGTTTGGCCCGGCGAAAGAGGTTTTGGACTCTCTGTCATTGGATTCTGTGGGTAGACGGTCCCTGGAGCGGAGGTCCGCGCGCTCGACGACGACCCGGACATGGGTGGGAACGGGATTGCCGCAGGTGAAGTCACCGGAGCATTGCTGGGGCCCGCACCTTGTTGGTTAAATCCAGGTCGAGGCGGAAATTGACCACTGGCGATGCCACCCGGAGGACGGCCCTGTATTGGAGGATACGTGCTCGGAATTCGAGACGTATGGGCAGGATCGTCGAGCGTGTCGTCTCCCGAAGGTGCTTGTCGGCGGATACCTGGTCGTTTGTCGTTGCCTTCTTCATCCTCCAAAGGTTCGGGTTCGCCGTATACCACGCCCTCCATTGACTCGTCCGCATCCACTTCTTCCTCCCCACCAAAACTGCCCATACTGGATCTCCGTCCGGCGCAACCTCCCGGCCCCTTGTTATGGCGAGCCAAAGCATCGCCTCGGGCAAACTTGCGGCCACACTTGGGGCAGATATGAGGCCTTTCGCCGGTGTGGAGCTTGGTGTGCCGCTTGAGGTCATGAAGGCGGCGGAAGCGGGATGAGCAGGTCGAGCAGACGTAGGGTTTTTCTTGGCTATGCGTTAACAGATGGCTCTTCAGATTGTGATGACGAGTAAACTCGGTGGCGCAGTAGGGGCATCTGTGCTTTTTGCTGGAAGGAGATTTTGTACCTTGTCGTGTACCGGAATGAGGCAAGCTCATCCCTCGTCTAGCAGCGTTTTCCGCCACTTGTGGTTGTAAGAAGGGGGTCGGATACGAGAGCGCCCCCGTCTTCGCGACACCGCCAGGAGAGGTAGAGCCTGCCTCTGCATTCACGACCTGACGGACTGTTTCTTCGAGCGCGAGGGGGCTGCCTACGGTGGTGGTCATGCCCGAGACGGCCGGCATGCCTTCGAGGGTTCCCAACGTCCCACCGCTCGACATACTTGTTGGACTAGTCAACGGTGCATGGTTGTCTCCGGACGCAGAGCCTTCTGGAACAGATCCACCTGGTTGCTGAATATTTTCCGCAACTACAGCTAGTGGCTCGCTGACTGTAGTCGCAGGATCTGAAGGTATGTCCGACGTTGGCTCGAGAGCTTTGCTCGTCACATTCTGATTTGCGCCCATGAGCGCACTTCGGGCTTGGTGAGACGGATTTGGACTTGTTCCAGATGTCGGAGGAGGCGTAGATGGAGATGCTTTGTGTCGTTCCTCGGCAAAGGCGACGGCGGCAGTCATTAAAGGGCCTTCGAGCCTTGGTTTCTTCCCAGGTCTCGACGACTCTTCAAAGTCGTCGCGCAAGCTGGCTCGGGCTTTGGAAGGAGACTGCGCTGAGCTGGGTGGTTTAACGAATGTGGGAGAGGTCGGAACAGAAGCCTCTGGGGATATTTGCGGATCTGGGCTGGATTCAGCCATCAACAAGATCTAAGGCCGCAAGAGTCACTATAGCCTACATAATAGTCAGTGTGCGAGTCCTTGAGCAACAGGCTGTGCATTCGACATCTCTTCCCGTGTTAGGATGTGCTTGAGGAGTAGAAACGGCGGGCAGGCGGTCATGGACTGTTCGTAATCCATAAAAGGAGAGTAAGGGGATTTGCGACATGAATAAAGACGCATGAGGATGGCGTACCTTTTGAAAGGCGCATAGGTTGGACAGGGCTGGGGTTCCCGAGCTGAAAAAGTGTAGGCTGAGCACGAGGCGCTTTTCAGCCTCACGGCAACGCAAGGTGTTTTTATTGTACAGATTGCCAGGTCGGCTAATAGACGCCGATGATTCCCTTTCTTTTTCTTCTCCTATCTCTTAAACACCCGGCAAACGGCGATGCGCAGCATGTTATGAAGGCACAATGTCTGGGGTTGGCCAGTTTCTCGGCGGGTTTCGCAGGTTTTGATTGCGGGCTGGATTCAGAAGGCGAGGCTGAGGCGTATCGAGAAATATGAACTTCTATTCGTTCGGGCGAACAGACAGCTTCAACCTCAATTCAATGAGCGGAGACTTCAAGCGACCAAAAGTTGAAGAGAACGAAAGTGCGAAAAAGACGAAAGGAGCAGGAGGCCGGGTTTCGACGGTGAGGGGAAACGGTTGAGGAATCGCGCCGCCGAACGCGACAGAAATACGGCCTGGGGATCTGCGGCGCAAGAGAAGTTGCTGTGGTTTTCGCCGCTGCCGATATCGTGTACGAGAAAGGGCGAAGGGAGGGACTGAAAGCGACGAGGGCAGCAGAATAACTGGTAGGTAGGTACTCGTTTGACAGAAGCGAGGTGAGCGCCGTAAATGCTTCGGAATGGTTGGCAGCAGGTAGGGATCTCAACAGGATAGCCGAATTGAAATGACGAGGATCTTTGACTGTTTAGTTGACTGCAATCTGATGAATCGCGATTGGGAGCGGGGGTCAAATTTCGAGAATGTGAGAGGCTCTTGGATCGAAGTTGACTCGAAGGCTGTCAGCTCGTCAGATCGACGGGCTCTCATACAGCAGAAGCTTTTTTACTTTTGGCCGTACTGGCTTTCTATGGCAAATGGTTCGCGACAGGCCGAGTGGGAAGAGGAGAGGAAAGATGAGTGACGGACTCGTATGGTTGTGAACCGGCCCAGTGGTTGAGGGCTACGGGTGATGGAGGTGGTGACGGTATTCGAGTGGAGTAACAGCAGCGAGGAGAGGTCGAGTGGCTCAGGCAGGCAGGCCCGTGCTGAACGAACTAATAAAAGGGTCCTTGTTCTTGGGTACACCCTGGCTGGTGGATTCTGCTGGGAATGGGTTTGTGGTTTGGCTGGTGGGACTGGGCCGGGCTTGACTTGTTCCAACGGATGCCCCGTGGCCAGTGTGTCTGGTTCGACGGAACGACGAGAGCGACGAGAAGGATGGAGAGCAGAGGATGATGAAAGAGGAAAAGAGGCGCAGGCAAACCGAATCGTGATACGCAAGTGGGATCGGAGACTGGGGGGAGAAAAAGAGGCAGGTTCAAGAGGCCCTGGCAGCTACGAGCTGCAGGAAGCTGGACGTGGATTCGTTTTAACTTGTCTCTCTTTAGCCGGGGTGGCCACAAGCGGCTCGAAGATCGCAACGGGAAGAGATAAACAGGTGGCGTCCAGGGCAGCAGAGGAGGAGGAGGAGGAGGAGGAGGTGGTGGTGGTGGTGCAGGGGGGGCAGGACTACCCCATAGCACCCCTGTGTCGCTTAGGCCTTTGAGCCACTGGTTGACGGTGGGATTTTTCTGATTGACTTTGGACGGTTTAGATGTGGCACATGAGAGGAGAAGGATCAGCCAGCAGGGTTGGGGATGAGCAAGAATGATTCGTGAACGAGACAATTGATTGACAAACGTCCATGCGATGGCCAAGTGTGGCAGAGGTGGCAGAGTGGCAGTGTTGAAGGAGCTTGCAGCCAGTGATGCTGCCCTATGACGCGCCTCGGGCCCCAGGAACGGCCGCCCGCTGCAGGTGCAGGTTCGAGGGTGGTTCAGTCATGAGGCTTGTGGCTGCCTGTCTGCAATGGGGGCCATTCGTTACAACTTGCCCACAGTCCAGGTACCTACACGCCCTATAAAGGCTGCCTAGGTAGGAATGCTGGGACCGTCGGCCTTAGGCGCTTGAATTACCTTAGGTACTGATAGGTATATTCGAACCATCTCTCCGTCGATCTCTCCCACTCCCCTGTGCTCCCTTCATCCCTTCTCTCCTCTCTGCCAGCAACCTGATTGACATACATCCTCCTTGCCGAATGACGCCATGACATCGGTGGCGGCTGGTGGCTGGTAAAGGGCCCAGCCAGCCAGCGTAGTGCCTTGGGCAACTGGTGCTTCTTCCACCAATCGACCTCAATCCAGCTCCAACCACACTCGCCCACGGCTATCCACCAACACCACCACCACTAATTAACCTTGTGAGTTAGCCCTTGGGTCAACCCTCACGGCCAATGTCACACGCTCTTGGACATTGTTGGTTAGAAGCCAACCTTGCTCCGTTTTCGGCTTCAAATGGTCTCTCAAATTGTCGAGGTGCCGTCCTGTTTCGGGCAGGTTGTCGACTCGACCCCATAAATCCTCAGTCTTCCTTCTGACGACGAGGTCCTGGTGGCGCGCACTACGCCAGGAGAAGGCTCCCTCACGCCTCGTGACTGAAACAAATAGGATGACAAGGCTTTCAGATACCGCTTACGAGTAATGGCTGGTCTGTGGCTGACATCCCAACGCTGACCGTGCACCCAGTCACCCATTATTCTCACGAAAATTTCCCGATCCCTCCCCTCTTGTTGTGATCTTCATTGCCTTCTTAGCGGATCAACACATTGATTACGAGCAAGTCTTGTCCTGTCCGAGTACGCAGTGTCGACGGCTTGTTCTCTCACCGAAAACACACAGGCCCGGACACACATGACGCGAGCAAGCAAAGCGCGAACACGAGAGCTATACGGGCGCCCTGGGATATTACAGCTCCAATGGGCTCTTGTTGCTCTCTTCAGCCACCTCGCAAAGGCAGTGCGGACTGAATGCATACCTCGTGCCGAGTGCATGGATCTTCATCTCCTCAGAAGAAGGGCGTGGTTGTTCTATCCCCCTACTCGGTGAGACATCGTCAAGACGAGCGAGCGCGACCACAGCCCATGTCCTGAAGTACTGGGACGAGTATTCGTATGCGGGCTCGTGGGGCTTAACTGTTTGCCTAACTAGCGAGCGGAACAGGGCATATCCCCGTCGTACCCGCAGTCATTCTTCCCTGGCTTGTGGCTTGTTAGCTCTCCAACCTCTCCAGATTTGTTGCTTTCCTTCAGCGTCTGCGCCACTGGAAGCTGCCGGTTTCATCTAAATCCCGAACTCGCCGACTACCCCAAGCAGACCAGCACCGAAATCGTTAGCCAGATTGACAGGAAGTGCGTTGTCCAACAAACTCGACAGCAATGATGATGTTTTTCAAAAGTCACGGCCGGTCTCAGATCAGACCAGCTGCTATTCCGGCAGTATTATTGTTACAATGAACCTACTGAAAGGTTCCAATGGAGGGGCTCAGCATAACCTCTGCCACCATTATGTCAGACGTGTCGTTTGGCTAGAGGAGAGTGACCCATGTCTGTTCCACAGCACACCAAATCCTTCAAATTGTGCCTTTGATCCAGAAACGGCAGATACGCCGGTCGTGGTCCACTCTACTCCGTTCTGTTGGTCTTCTGTGAAAACTGTGCCCCATCGCTTGAAAACCTCCGTAGGGCTAGACCGGTTGAGTTTGGAAAGACGACGAGATCCGAGATGTGTTTATCTCGGGCGGCTTCGGACAGGGTATCCCAATCCAGGAACTCCAGGAGCCACTCTGTCAAACACTTTGAAACGGGCGCCCGTTCAGCTTGCTGTCCATGGCGTAATCCGATCTCCAACCCTGATGCTAACGGGCAGCCAGTGTGAGAACTCCTCCGCAATGCCGCCCGGCTTCAAACACATGTGCATGCCAAACCAAACTCGGCCCTCCTTGCGCCTCGTTTTTGCCAACGTACTAAAAGGCTCTTGCCTCCGTTGTGCACTCTTCTGGTCCACACAGACCATTTGACATCGTTGGCACGGCCCCAGGACTTCAAAGACGTTCGCGGGATCCTCTCCTATCTGTAGGCTTGTCCACTCATCCTCGATGTATGGGGTCTCCATTTGCCCCCGGTCCAGGTCCTCAGCGATGACTATGTTGCCTCGAAAAGAGTCAGCTGTGACAGCCCTGCCGATTCCGCCATTCTGCTTGATTTGCTCGTTGAGGCGGTTGACGCTCGAACGAGAAACAAGCAAGATGGGACTTTCGTTGGACAAAGCGATTGATTTGCCGACCTCGGTGGCTTGCTTTCCACGATGCAAACCAGGCACTCTCACTTTGGCCTGTCTGATGGTGCCGTCATTAGGGAACCTCGCAAGCGTACAGGGAACGCCCAACGCTTCAGTGAAGAACTCCACCACTTCGGGAGAAGTGTAGACGTGAACTTCAACATTCTCGCCGCAGACGTTGGATGATCTGTTGGTCGTGCGCTCACACTTGGTAATAGTGCCAGCGCGCATAAGGCTCGAATCCAAACTGAGGTGGAGCGTCTTCTTGTTTTGCGAACACTCGGATTCGAATGAGACTCGAAGGACGCTTTTTTGCAGGTCGATCTCGGGTCGAATAAGTGCCATCCGTGGGAAGCGCTTTTGACTCAGCGCAACGTTGGTGCCCTCGTGGACCAGACACCATTCTCGATCCCAGGCGAGTCCTTTTGGTCCCACTTCCCACAGAACGTCGCAGGGGACTCTATATGCTGCGCAGCTTTTGATGGGAAAGACCGACAGGCTCTCTACCACAAAACCTGGCAGGGCCGGAGCCGGACCAACACCTGAAGGATGCCTCTCTTGCTGCACTGGTCTGCCGTGGTCCACGTAGAACTCTTTGATAAAATCGATGAAGGTTACGACATCCTTCATATTGCTCATAGCACCTAGACTCAGCCGGATCGCACCCGTCGGTTTGCCGTTGATAATGTCATTCTCGTCTCCGCACCGTTGGCCTTCGGCGTAATTCTGCCGCAACTCGTCCGCAGAAAGCCCAAGGTCGCGCGCGATGCCGCCGGGATTGCAAAGGCCGCCGGTCCTGAACTGTATATTCTTCACGATGCCAAGCTTCTCTACCTCCGAGTTACTGATGTACCGCCCGCGGCTGTCTTTTAGGTTGAAAGCGAACGTTGGCCCCTGCGCGGCAGAGTCCACAAGCCCATCAGAGTGGATGGCGCAGACCTTGCTTCCGTTGGCGTGGTGCAGGTTGCGGAGCTGGTCTCGGAGCGTAGCAGCTAAGAAATTTGCATGCTTCGAGACATTCTCCATTGACCCATACAGTCTCCTGTGGACATCCAGTGCCGCCTGCAGTGCGATGATGCTGTGGAAGGCCACGGTCCCATCCTCGAGACTACTGTGCAACGAGGGGAATTTTTTCGCGTGCCAGCTTTCACCCAACATCGCGACCGAGTCTACCGTTCCTCCGCCAAAGTACTTTCGCCGTCGGAGGACGTCGCCCGAGGACTTGCGGACTATCAGCGCTCCCAAATCTGGAAAGCCAAATATCTTGTAAAAGCTCAATGCGGTGAAGTCGGGCGCGGTGCAATCATCCGAAAGGTCGAAGGGAGCCGTCGATACCAGGGCGGCAGCGTCGAGGAGAGTGTACAAAGGTAGACCGGGAATCTTTGTGGCGTCACGTATCCTTCGAGTCCATTTCAACGGCAGCCGGCGGCCTGTCATGTTTGATTGCGCGGGGTAGGCAAAAAGGGATAGCTGATCATTAATGATGGAAGGCTGATTATTCAAATCCTCCAGCCACGCCTCAACTTCTCTGTCGTTGGCAAAGCAGGTCGTCTCCCCTGTCGCCAATTCCCTCACCCCGACTAGACTAGTGTGAGCCTCAGCATGATAATAGTAATTGAACCCGGATGGATGGTCTCGGAATGCATCTCCAACAAGCTTGATGGCTGCTGTCGCATTGGGAACGAAGACCAGGTCGAATTTGCCGGGATCGGCATTGAAGAAGCGCAAGACTTGAAGCCGAGCATCGTCGATTCGACGAGAGGACAGTTGCGACGACGCTGAGGCGGAATGCGGATTGCCGAACAAGCTCCCTGTGAGGTCCTCGGAGTACTTTTGGATTAAGGACTTTGCATACAGTGAAGTCCCGGCATGATCGAGATAAGTCGTGTCATTCAGCTGCGGGTATTCTGCCTCTCTAATATCGTCAATATTGGTGATGTAGCCCGTTTCTGGGTCGAGGTCTGCCACAACTTGGGTCCCTCGGGAAGAGGAAACCAGTTTGACGCCGTCGGTCATGGTGGCCATGGCTGAAATACCTGCCGATCTCGACGGGCTGATGTCGGCGTGGTTGCACCGCCCATTGATCTCTTGAGGAGACAGAATGAGTGTCAAATATATCAGTGCTGCTTCTCGGGGATGGCGAGACAGTCAGAAGGAGGAAAGAAACGGTGGATGTACGAGTACGAGATGAGATGGTGAGAGGTGGGGGATGAGGCGAGGCAAGAAGAAAGGTGCAAGTCATGAAAGGCCAAGTTCGGCGTTCTCCGATGGCCGAGAGTCTCGTCGTCTTATTGGTGCTGGGGCTTGCTCTTATCTCATCCTGGATGTGTCACTTATTCCCTATTCCTGTTAATAACGAGGACATATGGAACACCGAGGCAGCTTGTCAGCAAGGAAAGAACTCTATACAGCCGTCGAGTGCGGTGGAAGGCCGGTAAGAAATCGGAGGTATCGGTGGTATGCTTGGCTCTGCCATAACGTCACGGGCAGATCTTGGATTGGTGTTCAATCGTGGAAGCGACTGACCCAGAAATGATGAAGATGCCGGTGCTCGAGATAGGAGATACCGTCTGTACCTACCTTGTGCTCAGAATGATGGCAGCGCCTATGCTTGTTGGTGAGTGACCAGCGTTGGGGAGGCAATGGCGCTTTTGACGGCCGTCAAGGCGGCGATGCTGGCCAGGCTGAGCTACTCCAAATCTGTCTGCGAGGCTGAGCTTTACCGAGTTCGTCCATTCGACTTGGTATCGCAGGCACTCCCTTCCTGCACATTTACTCACCTCGATGCCTCTGCCACCTGTCCCCTTCCTCCACCGAGACTCCGCGACAAATGATGACAAAATTTTCGGCGCAGATGAGTTTAAAGGCTTCCGGAGCATCAGTGCACGGCATTTAGAGATCCTCCTCTGCCGACGCTATCCGCATCCAGCACGGAGCTCGAGCAAGCGTCCTTGGCTGTCTTTTACCCTGCTTGGCTCTTGCATTGAGGCTAAATGGCCTATCCCTTAAGCCTTCCATCGTCTTGTCCGGACCATACAGCCAGAAGCATACAGGTCCAAGATCTGCCGCTCGGTCTATCCTGGTTGGAGATTGGAAATATGTGGCTTGAGGCGCTGGGGTCACCGTCGGTTGCCATTCAACCGCACCATGAGCCAAGGGCTTCCGGGCTGACTGTCAACCTCTACCAGAGCTCCTGTGCGAGGCTGTCGCTTGTGGATGTAACCAGATCCATTGGTTACGGACGAGGATCGACGACCGCTGCCTTGTCAGAACCCACCGCGACCGACCCCAGATTCCCATTTCTCCACCTCGCAGCTCCACTCTCCATACACATTTTCTCCTTCCTGTGCCATTACCAGGTGTTGCTGCATTTCTTGGGGTCTCCAACTAGGGTGATATAGGTTACAAGCGAGGATAAATTTGCCTTCCTCATGTCGTGGTCGCGGCTGTTCCTCGGAGGTGGTCTCCAAAGAATAGAAATAAGAGCTAGGACTCCCCTCGGCCACCTTTGGGGGAAAGAGTGGTCTGCTCTTACTGTCAGTATTGGAAACTAACATTGTGCTCATTATGGCGACTACCAAGATATTCAAGCCCGCCACCCATGAGGTCGGCGCCTCCGACCCCATCCTCACCCGTATCGCCGAGGAAGACAAAGTGCCCTGGTATCGCAAACGGAACCTGCGATATCTCTACTTCATGCTCTTCCCAACATGTATGGGCATTGAGTTGACTTCTGGATTTGACTCGCAAATGATCAATGCCCTACAGATTGTCCCGTCTTGGATTGAATGTACACCTCCTCCCAGACCGGTGTGCAACAAGAAACGTGCTAATCTATTTGGTCGCAGACTTTGGTGACCCTGAGGGCTCTCTGAAAGGCATCATTGCCGCGGCTTATTCGCTTGGTGCCATCTGCTCTCTACCTTTCATTCCGATTGTCAACGAGAAACTGGGACGAAGAGGATCCATCTTCCTTGGTTCGCTCATCATGGTCGTCGGCGCCCTCATCCAAGGGTTTGCGCGAAATGGTCCGTCCTGAGTCTATGGCTCGGTGGTTTTATGCTAATCTTGAGCTTCAGTTGGCATGTACATCGCTGCCCGTCTGATTCTGGGTTTTGGGATACCGACTTGCATTGTCTCTGGCTCTGCCCTGATTGGTGAACTCGGGTATCCCAAGGAACGACCCGTTTTGACGTCTTTGTTCAATGTATCCTATTTCATAGGTAAGTGTCTTTCCAGATGAGAGTCTTCTGGTGTTTTCTGTCAATGAGAGACCTGAAAGATTGGTTGGCGTTGCTGATAGGTCGAAACTGGCAGGTCAAATCGCTGCCGCTGGCATCACTTTCGGGACAAACAGCATCGCAAGCAATTGGGCCTGGCGAATCCCTTCTCTTCTGCAAATGGCTCCGTCGTTGTTACAAATCTGCTGCGTCTATTTTTTGCCAGAGAGCCCACGTTGGTTGATCACCAAGGACCGCTCTGAAGAGGCGTACGACATCCTGGTAAAATATCATGCCGAAGGTGACCGGGATTCTGAATTCGTGCGCGCTGAAATGGCTCAAATGCAGACCACCATCCGCCTGGAGCTGGAAGCATCGAGGAAATCTTGGTTGTCCGTCGTCCATTCTCCAGGTATGCGCCGACGCGTCTTCATCTCCTCTTTCCTCGGGCTATTCACCCAATGGTCGGGCAACACATTAATCTCATATTACCTCGGCGACCTGCTGGCCATGATCGGCCACACGGACAGCATCTTCAAACAGAAAATCAACCTTGGCAACTCGTGTTGGTCCCTCGTCTGTGCGTTCACCGCCGCAATGCTAGTGACCCGCTTCAAGCGCCGGACCATGTATCTTACCTGCACGTGCAGCTTACTCGTCGTCTACATTTGCTGGACTGTGACGATGCAGCAATCAATATCGGCTGTCGAGGCCGGTCGGACCAACGCAGCCGCAGGCACTGCGACAATCTTCTTCATCTTCCTCTATGCGCCTTGCTACAACATCGGCTACAACGCCCTGACGTACACCTACCTCGTGGAGCTCTGGCCGTATGCGGAACGATCTCGCGGAATCTCCGTGTTCCAACTGTTCGGCAGACTGGCCGGGTTCTTCACCACGTTTGTGAACCCCATTGGCCTACAGAACATCAGCTGGAAATGGCTGATTACGTACTGTTGCTGGCTGGCCTTTGAGATCTGTTTCGTGTGGTTCTTCTTCCCCGAGACGGCAGGGAGGACGCTGGAGGAGCTGGCCTTTTGTAAGTGTCACCCACCCTTCTTGCCCAGTCCTGGTCTCCTCTTCTCTCCTCTATTTTGTTCTTGAGCCCGGGACATCGTGGAGTCTTCACGCTAACATCTTTCGATAGTGTTCGAGGACAAGGCTCTCGCCGACCAAGCCGTCGTGGCTGTCGAGAAGGTCGTGCACCACGAAGACATGGACCCGGTGGCTATGGACGTGAAGAGCGCCGAGATCGGGCACGCCGAGATCGTGGAGGCAGTTGGCGAGAAGCCGAGCAAGGTGTAGTGGCCAGTGCACTCGCAAGTCGGTCCTCCCTTACTCTGGCTGTTGCAGCGAGGGACCGTCCTCATTGGGAAGATAAGAATGGACGTCAAGGTGCGGGACAAAGCAAGGGAACAAAAGCCGAAATGCTTGAGGAATGATGCGGTTGGGAAGTTCATACGCATATGTGTGCGCGAGAACAGACTGGGGACAGAATTGCGGTTATGCAGAAGCGGTGGGAATGAGCAGAGACGAAGAGAGATACGGATACTCACTCGTCGCACTGTCTCGACGTACTGCAGCATCTGTTCTGGATGTAGTTCGCAATATACCAAGTGTATGTCATTCACTATTAATATTTGCATCGTGCACAGGTAGGTGTGAGAGCCACTTTGACCCTTGCCTGCCGGCTGCATTGTCCAAGTGCGACGCACTCGTACATAATGGCTACGGAGCACTCGGTACACAGGGCTCACTGACGATATAGGGTGCAAACATCCAACATGGCGAAGTTCCTTAATTTTAAATTCTCTTTCTTATTGTTAACTATTTCCGCCTCGCGAGAGAGAAATGCTGTGCACTTTCCTGGCCCCCTTCCGCTGCCTCATTGCCGCCGTCATCAATACCCTCGCGAATAGCGTCGTCTGAGCATCCAAGCGATCCGCCCGCAAAACCAGCCCGCTGCATCGCTAATACATCGAAATAACCCAAGCGGCCGAGTCCCCTCCGGCCTATATTGGCAGCAAAATAAAGAAGGAGATTCGTGAGTTTTAGTTTTGGAGTCAGTCCACCTCTTCTGTGACTCGCGTCGATCGTTATCAGTTGCACAAGAGTTGGAACCTGTCTATTGCCCTCAAACGACGTATCGGTGGCGGCTGCTGCTCCTTCTCGATCCAGAACGAGAGTGCCCTCGTCGGCTGCTGTGGCGCGATCGCCTGACCTCCTTTGTGACGACCACCCTCTCGTGCCGGTGGAGGAAGAGAGCCAGGACGAAAGTGAAGAAGAAGAGGATGGTATTCATGATGCCCAAGGCCCAGGAGGCCTTCAGCATCGAGCAATTCTTGTTGAGATGTAACGCCCATGACGAACCGCTATTCCGTCCGTAGTAGCCAAAGGGACCGAGGTTGATGAAGATGGACCCGGACGTGAAGTTGGAGCAGTCGGCGTCGTCGATGCCTCTGAGTTCGACATCGGCGGCGATGAAAGCGCCCACGAAGCAAAGATCGACGAATGCGACGAAGAGGGCAGACCGACGGGTTGAGCCGAGACGGAGGAGGGTCACCAGGGCCCAAGCGCAGGCCAGGACCGAGACAATGAACAACGTCAGGATGAAGGACGGAGTCAATTGGTTGTTGTCATCGAAGCCGTCGACGAACCATGCCTAGGGAGGGTCTTGGTCAGTTGAGGTCTACCTTGGACTGGTACTTGGGTACCATGGGGGAAATGACAGGGTCGTACCAGCATGCCAATGACAGGAATTAATGTGACAATCTCCACGAATCTCCAGAAGCAAAAGAGCAGCCCTCCGAGCATCTTGTCTCGCAGCGGTGTACTAGATCACACACTGACTTTGTAGGTGGTGGTCGACTCTGTGACGGCGAGGGCCTCGCAAACGGGCACAGGCGGTGGTGCCTTCGTCACCCGATTATCCAATGCGTGCGGAGTCACGCTGATTGGCGAGCGCAAGTTTGGAAGCAAAGTCCTCGAAAGGATGCGATTCGCGCAGAAACAGGGATTCGTGGAAGAAATTCCAGCTCCGGATAGGATATACACGAGAGTGCGAAAGAAGGCTTTGGAGAAATAAGAGAGGTAAGAAAAGTAAGTCGAAGCAAAGAAAGAGGAGGCTGGGGGAGGCGAGTTATCATGGGCCGGCGACGAGGGCGTGGTGAAGGCTTCAAGCGGGCGTCCTTTATCACTCCACAGGGAAGCAGAATCGCAGTGGCTGGGCACTGGGCTTTGGGCTTTGGGCTTTGGGCTTTGGGCACTGGGCTGAAGCTCTCGGCCTACGCAGGTCCACATCGTCATCGCACATGAGAGCTTCTCCAAAGGCGCAGATGGAGTTCGGCAACCTGCTTCCCTCTGGCTGCGATTGGTGGCTTTCTCCCTCTGCCGCAGGTTCCTTTTTGCTGGCTTCTTCCTACTTTTCTCGTCGTCTCTGACATTGGGATGCTGCAAATCTGGGAACGAAGCTTGAACCACCAAATGCTCACGCCCATCCCACCCTGATCGGCGCCTGTCAGAAGCATGTCTGTTGCAGCTCGCATATTTGTACATCAGTGTCACTGACAACACCTCTCGCCCGTGCCGCATGCAACTTTGAATCATGCAATGGCATGATCGCCCGACATCCCTCTCGTCCTCCAACGTCTTCCTACATCCCTAGGCCGGCGTCCTCCAGATCCTCAATCTCTCCGTATGCTCATCCTAGTCGGACCGTTGGACTTGGGAATATTGTAAGAAATCGTGCAAAGCCCAGTCATACAAATGGCCAAGGAGGCGCAAGAAGCAGACGGTGATCAGCAGCATGGTCATCTCCCTACCGCGGGAGAGGTGCTTGCCAATCCCTCTGACCAAGAAGCCCTGGAGCTTGGCTCGCGGCTGACAGCAACAACCACAAACCAGAGCAGCTCAAGGGCGTCTCGATGGTGGAAGAGACATGTCTCTATGAGCGTCCCTCATGTTGCCTGCCGTGACCACTTGGGTAAGGATACGTGCTGGATGCAGCCGCCGAGATGATTCGTCTCCCATCACTTGTCCGACTTTCACAACTAACTCGGCCGCAATAGCAAACGAAAGGACGTTTCTTGGTTACCTGCGCACAGCTCAGGCATTTGCTATGGTAGGGGTGGTCATTGCCCAATTCTTTCGACTAAATCACAGTCTCCATCCGAATACAAACTTGGGCTTCTTTGTCGTCGGCGTCCCCTTGTCCTGCGTTTGCCATGGCTCTGCCATTCTGATATCCGGTCTTGGAGCCCTCCGATTTATTCGGTGTCAAAAGGCGATGGCTCGTGGTTATGCTCTATCCGGTGGGTGGGAGATGACGTGTATCGGGATGCTGACCACTCTTGTAAGTACAACTGCCGTTATTACAATATGTGGCGTGTCTGCTAACATGACCCCAGATTCTTCTCAGCATCTTTCTCCTGACGCTGATTATAAGCATCGAGAAAGGTTGATCGAAATCAGGATTACATTCGGAAATCCCACCCAAAGACTCAGCATGATGACGAGAGGTTCAAGAAGTGTTCATCCAAGAGAAAAGAACCCTCCGGTAAGGGTTTCCGGCACAGAGCTTCCACGGCTTTCGGTCCCGGGAACTATCCAGACCTACTTGGTGCCTCTTCGGAGCCATGACTTCTTTCTGGATCGTGTGTACGCTTGCCTTGGCTGCTGCAGAAGCACGGACGCAGGGCTATTGCTCTTTTCTACACGCCACTCCACTCCTCAACCACTGAACTATGCGGCAGCGGAAGACCCAAGGGCTACACTAGAGTGCGGCAGCGCAACGCGTGACCACCGTTTCCCGGATGGCCACTCGAAAGACCTCATTCCTACGAAGTGGATGCAATACAGAGTTTGTGGTAATAACATGGATAAGTGGGCTTTCGCTCAGCTCTATAGTTCCGGACGCAAGTTCCACATCACCAAGCCAATGTGCTCAGAGAACCAAGCGGACAGAGGGGAGCTAGATGTCCACATCGTGCCAGATGGAGCAGCTGCAACCCTAATACAGTGAACATGTTCGCACTATGTCATCAGATGCACCTTCTACGATGCTGGGGAAGACGGAACTAGCGATGCCTATCCACCTTTCAGAGCGCGAAATCCCCGGAAAGGCAATCCCCGGAACGGTGTTTGACACTCGCTTCTATCGCCTTGATCGCCCTCTATCAGCGTTGTTGTCTCACAAGGATCGAAATCCATCAGCTCTTCCACTTTGGTTCATGACTCTGTCATCATCTATCGGACCATGGCCATTCCCACTCATCAACTGAGTCTGCCTTGTCATGGGCAAAATGCCTGACATTTGGGAAGGGTGGTTCCGGAAGTGGTCGCTGAGGCGTTCTGCGCGGGTTATCCCTTTGGGCGTTGCCCACCAACCGAGGGCCAGGCAATATCATCTGCAACCGCAAACTTGACCCATTAACTCCCTGCACCTGGACTTGTCAACGACTGCTTCCGGGCATAAGCCGTCTCGCTAATCCTCTCTATGGGCCTGCGGCACACCCGGGTGCGACCAATGGATATCCAACAGAAGCGCCGGGCAGGGTCGTCACGTGACCCCATCTCCTCCTTGGCCCCATGTCCATCTCCTCCGCTAATGGGTGCACTTGCATTCCCAATCGTGGTATCTGAGGTCGATGGAGGACAGTAAGTACACTAGAGCAGCTTGGAAGGTTTGTTTGTGGCTCGGACTGTGGTAAGTGGCCTTGCTGGGGGGTTGGACAGACCTGAAAGTTTGCCTTTCTCCCATGGCGGAGCATCAAAATGCTGCGTCTAGACGTGCACAGTATCCCCACGCCATTTGTGTTCGTCCATGGATGGCGGTGCTCTTGTCCCTTATCATCAAGGCAATAGTTCAGCAGTCACTAATGACCTCTGAACCCTTGTGCGACCTTCTGGTCCATGCATTTGCCCTGCTTCGCCCAGTGCGGACAAAGTCATATATGGGCCAGACTTGCTCTTAAAGGACGCCGACTTTCGCTCTCCAGCTTCTTTTCTCAAAAATGTCTATTCCTACTGAACAGTTTTCGCAACTTGCTTTTTCCGAAGACAATCCCCACCCACAGCCGCTGGAGGAGATGCGGTTCGACGACACGCCCTTGGAGGAGAGGAAGATCCTAGTCAGGGATATCGTTTCCTCGTTTGACGCCTACTCCCTGCCGGCAGAGTTCAAGCCCGACGTCTACGAGAGAATAACCGAGGAGCAAGCCAGAAGAGCGCCCACTGAATGGACCATACGAGATGACTTACATGCTACTCTGATGCAGTGGGGGTCCCACGACGAGACTGCGTGGACGCTGCTGCGTAGAATTGCTCCCCGAGACCGGACTCTTGGGTTTGGACAAAAGTTGCGGAGACGATTCAACGAGCAGTTCGCCCGGTATGATGACAAAGTGAACCATCCACGTAGGATGACAGCGGCAGAACTACGGACAGAGATCACTGGGATATGCAGCCAGCTTCAAACCCTTGCTCGTGCTGCCACCGCCGAGGTGGGCCGACATAACATCACGATGGTGTTGCTCGAAGCTTTGAGAAAGGTCTGTGACAGGGACGACGAGGTTGAACCTGCTCGACGCAGCGGACGCTTGTCAATGGAAGGTGCCGCTGCTGGGGGTGCTGCTCCGGTGCCGACTCTTTACCGCAGCCTCATCCAGGATGTCTCGACGGATTTCATGCTCGATGCCCTTGACATTATTGGGGAGAAGTGGCCAAGGTCGTTGACCACTCGCGAGGCCAGGGAACAATTGTCAAGGATCAACGCGATCCTGCAGGACAAGGCTGCTCCACACGATTACCAAACCAGGTTACAGGCTCTTCTTGCAGAGTAGCCTCTGGCATGCTATCTCACCTCGGCTTGCAAGGGAGGGTTTCGCCTGAGATGGGTTCCGGTGGAAAGGATGAGATTGTCAATTCCCATTGTTTCTCTCGTGTTTTCCTACGTTGCTGACTGTGGATGGTGTGGGCAATGCATTTGATATTTCCATCCAGCGTTCGATTGTCATGCTTATTGGCACTGGTGCAGTAATGCTGCTGGGACGGTGGTGCTTGTTTCCGCTCTGTGTTTCCTGATAGATTTTGCGAGGTCGATTGCGTGTCATTGGCAAGCGGTCGACTCGATATTTGATGCAAAGAATTGGTAGCCATGATAAGGAGGACAGTTGCTGACACGACGTCTGTTTGCACTGCATTTTTGCCACTTTGGTGCCACTGGTTCGGCGAATCTTCGCGCCGGACTGAGTCGTGCTTTGGTACTCGTCATTATTGATCGCGGGGTATCGTGACAACCCACTTGGTGGTGGTGGTGATGCTATACGAGGCCTGTGCATGGGGAAATGTCACCCCCACACAACTCCGAGGTTCCTGTCCCTCGGCCGGACCTTGGAGCTGCGAGCTGGGACCTGGGGGGGCCTCTGGACAGCTTCCGTAGGATTCTCGCGACGTCGTGACAACGAGTCTAGGTAGGGGCAATGTGGCAAGTTGGCTATAGGGAAATGGGGCCCACTGACTCGACCGAGTCGAAGATAGCAGCCAAAGTCGATAACGTGCGGAAGAGGCACAAGGACAAGAGCGCGATGGAGGGATCTGCCTCGACCAGCCCCGCAACAAGTTCCGCGTGTGCATAGCTTCACAGACGAAGGATGGTCCAGACACTTGCAAATGCACGCTGCTACCCCTCTCCAGAAGACGCGTCCGCTCGACCCTTTAAAGATCTTGGGCCATGGCCGCGGCACAAGTCCTTTCTCTTTTCTCCCTGCGCGTCTTTGCTGACTGACTTCTCTTGAATCTTCTCTCAATCCTCCTTAGCAAGTCCTTGCTCTTTGTGTAGCTTCTCAACATGGCGAGTGTTCAGGTTCCTTCCAGGCACAAGGCCTTGGTATATGACAACCCGGGCAGCATTTCCACCAAGATCGAGGAGATCGAGACCCCTAAACCTGGCGTTGGCGAGGTGTTGGTGAACTTGACACATTCAGGAGGTAAGCGTCTCCTCCTCACTGGCGCAGGAGAGAACAATGGCACTGACCCTGCCACATAGTCTGCCACTCGGTAAGCGCTCGGTGTTGGTGATTTGACCGACGAAAGAGGATCATGTTGACCCTAACGCTTCCATTTGCCACACAGGACATGGGTGTTATGTGCAACGCATGGTCATGGCTTCCTGCTCCCACACAGAAAGGCCAAGTGGGTGGGCATGAAGGCGTCGGCGCCGTTGCTGCCCTAGGACCGGGCGCGGAGACTTCTGGTCTGAAGATTGGTGATCGCGTGGGTATCAAGTGGATTGCCTCTGCTTGCGGGAACTGTGTGCCTTGCCTAGTTGGCGCAGATGCCTCCTGTACCTCCGCGAAGGTCTCAGGGTATGTTTGTGCATTTCCACACCACCGGGGGAACACCGCAATGCTAACACCCCGGATTAGGTACTATTTCCCAGGAACATTCCAACAATATGCCATTGCCCCGGCCCATTATGTCACTCCCATTCCAGACGCACTCCCGAGTGACATGGCAGCGCCCATGCTGTGCGGTGGTGTCACGGTCTACACCGCTTTGAAGAAGCTGATAGACCAAGGGGTCCGCCCAGGAGACTGGGTCGTCATCCCTGGTGGCGGGGGTGGGCTTGGTCACCTGGCCCTGCAAATCGGCTCTCGAGGAATGGGTTTCCGCATGATCGGAATTGACATGGGTGCAAAAGAGAAGTTGGTCAAGGAATGCGGCGCCGAAGTGTTCCTGGACTTGTCCAAATACAGTCGGGACGACGAGGGAACCAAGAAATTGGTCGAAGATGTCAAGGCTGCCACAGGGGGTGGTGCTGCGGGCGTCGTGGTCTGCACAGCGAGCAACGCCGCTTATGCCCAAGGCTTGAGCTTCCTCAGATTCAGAGGCACGTTGGTGTGCGTGGGTGTGCCCGAGGGTGCTGCAGTGCCAATCGCCACCGCGAACCCAGCAACCATCTTGGCCTCGGAATTGAAGATTGTCGGCAGCGCGGTCGGCAACAGAAAGGATGCGATTGAGACCCTGGATATGGCGGCGAGGTGAGTCCATGTCCTTGTTTGATGTCTACACAAGTCATGTTTGCTGACACTGAGCACAGGGGTACCGTCAAGACGCATTTCGAGGTCCAGCCGATGAGCAAGTTGACCGAGACTTTTGAGAGGATGGACAAGGGCGAGTTACAGGGGAGAGTCGTTCTCGACCTGAGCGGGTGATTGAGCACAAAAGCGAAGACAGGGAAATATAGGCTGTCGCATAGGAACAAATGCAACTTCTCACAAGCTTCGTAGGCTGCGTTTAGAGTGTGTCGTATTCGTGTTCTTCTCGACTGGGGTTGTGCGGCTGAGATTGTCTTGCGCAAGGCTGAGTTTCCAGCCTTCTCGCCTGCCTGCGCCCCCAAGAAACTACAACTGCGCCCGCGCATGATGTATCTGGCTAGGCAAGCATCGTTTCCCAACACGCTCAGTCATTGTCACATCCCCCTACAGACCCGAATCATCGCGGCACAACCGGCGGCTGTGACCTCCTCGATGGTCCGCGGGACGCCGTTGTGATCTTGTATCGAGGCAATGAACCCCTACAATCAGCAGCCATACGGGTTTCCGCAGCAAACACCAGGCCCGCCACAACCGCCATGGCAAGCACCTCCTCGAAGACAAGGATGGGGAGACCCCAGACTCCACGGGCAGCAGCAACCAACCTCTCCAGTATCTCCCTATCATCCTACCGCACCCTCGTCGAATGCGTTTGGACCTCCCCTCCCACCTCCTCCGCCGTCTCAATACCCTCCGCCGCAGCAGTTTGATACACACCAGTGGGGAGTCCGATATAACCAGGGATTGGGCCCGCAGAATCAGAATCAACATCAGGAACCCAAACCTGCTTTGCCGCCGCGTCCTTCCTCTGCCGCGGGTAGGATAAGCCCGCAGCCTCATCAGACAGGCTATTCGCAGCAGCCACCACCGGCAGCATCACAACAGCAGTATCCGACATCGTGGAATGACCCCTATCACCCAAGCACGTCTGTACCACCTCCCCCACCTCCCCGACCGGCTGAGTACCAGGCCCAGATACAAGCCGCCCATCATGGTCGAACGGGAACTCCCCATCAAGAATATTCTCTTCAGCCTCCTTCCCATCACTACGATCCTCCGGCACCGCAGCAGAACGCATGGAACACACAACATGGACAGCCAGTGGAGCCACCGTATCACCCAACACCGCCTCCGCAACAGATGTCAGGCGTATTGGACGGTCCATTGGTGTCCCCAATCGATTCCACGAGTGGTTATTGGGGCAGTGGTCACCAGGCGCATTCGAGTACAAGCCAAGCTCCCGGCCACTACAATCCTCCTGCTGCGATTCAGAATCCAGACGTCAAGCCTGCATTCTCTCAGGCATTAGGGTTCGGCGGGCCTTCTGATTGGGAACACTACGATCCGAATGCGCCTCCCCCAGAGCAAACACCGACGAGCCCTCCGCCGAATAATCTATATCAGGGCCCCATCTCCCCTCCTCAGACACACGCAACCCTACCTGCTGCGTATCAGACTCCGAAGCCAGAGCCTATTCTCCCGACCCATGCCGTTGAGATTGGCATTGCCAGTCCAGTGACACCGCGGAAGGACTCGCGGGCTCAACCTCCTCCGGTGGTCGACAGCGCTCCATCTCCGCCGTCACAACCTGCTGATGAGAGACCTTCGTCTGCTGGCCAATATAGCGGCGATGTTTCCGCGCGTTCTGACAGCCTCAATGGAACAGGGAATATCGACAGCGTCATTCAAGCATGGAATGCCCCCTTGAAAGTCCGCTCTGCCCAAGACTCGACGCCGAGACCCGAATCTCGTGCATCTGCTCCGCGGGTTACATCTCCGGAGCCAGGGCTCTCCCCAGTTAACGTAAAAGTGGTTGATCCCTACGCTGATCTAGAGCCGGAGTTCAAAGCATCACTGAAGAGATACGCGGCGATGCTGCGAAAGGAGGCAGAAGCCGAGACTGATGACGAGAAATTCGAGGTCTTCCAGAGCTTTGTAACCAAGGAGCTGAGGCTGAGGAGTCTGCTTTACGGGGTTGAGTTGAAGAAGGAAGCAGCCAAAGAGGTCAAGAAGGCGGCCAGTTTGGCAGATATCCAGGCTATTTTGCCGTCTTCCACAATTCCCTCCAGCGTGACGAGTAAAGGTCCTGATCGAGGTAACGAGTCAGTCGACAGACTATCTGAGCCGGTAGCAGCACCGTTGCTAGCCCGGCAATCACAAACACAACCGTCGATCAACACGATACCAGAACCCGCCCAAGCGCATGTTGTGCAAAAGGAACAACCGAAGCCCGACATTCCCAAGCCTGCAGAGGCCGTCACTCCTGCTCCAGAGCCGCCAGCTACAGTAATCGTGGAAGGCCGTCCAAAATCGAAGGATGGCCCTCATGTTATGATTCCAGTGTCGAGCCAGGACGAAGCTTATAGTCCTGGCGGACGGCCATTGATGACAAAAGCTGCGCCTGGCGGTGAGGAAGCCTACAGTCCTGGGGGTCGCCCAGTTGTGACGAAACCGACAGACGGCAATGGAGAAGCATATAGCCCCGGCGGTCGTCCACTCGCTGGCAAACCCGTTGCGGCTGCAACAAAGAAGCCTTCCTCTATCAGCACGATCGTTCCACAGCAGCTTCGCCAACATTCAGAAGATATGATGTCGCCCAGCAATAACGCCCCCATGGTCATCGAAGACTATGCAACCCCTGAGCCAGCCTCACCAAGCATGAACGCCCCAATAGTGGTAATGCCCGAGACTCCACAGGCTCAAGCTTCACCAGGACGGCCGTCTCAAGGTAACGGTAGCAAGCCGATCGTGCCTATCAAATTCGAGCCTCCTCGTCCCGCTTACACGCCATTTCGCTACAGCACAGGTGTCCAGGAAGAGAAGAACAAGACCCTACAACCAGCAGACCAAGCATACTCCTCGCTACGAAATTCGGTGGCTGATTCAGGTCGTTTGATGGCTCAAGACACGGCATTCCTAGCGCCTGTTAGGCCAACCTCCGCCAGCGGCAAAAAGGAACATGAAGAGGCATTCATCGGCTTGATTAGAAAGCAAAGTATGGCCGTGAGACAGAAGAACCTTGGATCAGGCCCTGGGCTCCCCCCTCCAGCTATCAGGCCAGGCAGTGAGCCTAAGTCCACCACCTCCCTTAGGCAGGAACCGCCACTAGTTATGCGTGTTGGGACTCCTGCTACAGTGTCGATCAAACCACAACAGGCGCCGGTGGATCCCCTCAAAGCAGCTGTGACTGCGCTTCGTTCCCTATTACCAACCGCAACAGACATATTTTCCCCTATTGAGGCCAATCCCGAACATCCGAAACTCCAACTCATCAAGTCCAAGATCGACTCCATCCCTGACGCTTTCTCCTTCATCCACGACTCAGTTGTGGAGTGGGATCGCACCAACCGACTTGTCCGCAAAGAACAGGAGGCTGAACGACAGGCCCGGCAAGAAGAATCTGAAGGACACATTGATGCGCTCTTCAATGACAATGAGATTGGATATGCAGATATTGGGGAATTAGAGGCGGAATTCAAACTTAAGGAAGCCGAGAGACGGTTCGACGAGGATCAAGCAGAGTTGGAAAGCTTCACGAGCCAAGTTTTCGTGGTAGTGACGGAGCGATTGCAGAAAGAAATTACGGAGCTGATGACCGCGTATACCATGGCGATTGACTTACTTGATATCGACAGTTTGGCGGTGTCTCGCTGCTTCAAAGCCAATGATAGGAGGAGTGCAGTGAGGATGACCGAGGTCATGTCGTACGTCCTCACCTTGTTCAACAAGATCGAGATCCGACATAACAAAGTGGCCGAGGCGCATGTGGAGCGTGAGAGACGTCGCAAACACCTTGAACTCACTGTTTTATACACCAACGGCGACGTGCAAGGCGTGAAGAAACTGGAGAAGGAATATGCAGTGGCGGAGAAGATGGCTGTCCTGCACGAGGCAAGGGGCCGCGACACCAGGGCGAACAAACTGATGGATTCGTTCGATCGTGCCACCGTCCGCGGGCTCGGCGATAACCAGGTCTTCACGGATGAGGTCTTCAGCAGGCTTCAGGACATCAAGAAGGCAATCAACGCCGGGGCAATTCAGAACGAGAAAGAGAGGCTGTACGAACCCGATGGCGCAAGGGATACACTCTCACTCGCTCAAAACGCACTGGACACCGTCGTGGCTGATTCTCGGCGATTACTGGCGCTCTCGAATGAGGCAGACGTGTTGCTCAACGACTCGGACTACAACGTATCGGTCGCGGAGGCGCGGGTAGCCAATGCAGACAAACCGACATATGCGAACCTTGAGAGTGAGAAGGCCAAAGAGGACGCGAAGTTGATTGAAGAGATGAATGTGCGGATCAGCAGTGTCACTAAGGGGCCGCAGGAGGGCATCTCTTTGATCCGCGAGATGATTGACCAGATCGGAGATGATCCGGCACATCAGGAAAGGATCAAAAAAGCCTTGGAGGCGGCGAAGATGAGAAATGCGAATGGAGCGACGGGGGCGAATGACGGAGGGTGATGTTGAGAGGGGGAGGGAGCATGGGGAAAGCATTTGGTGTCTGTGATTGTTGTATACTCGCACGTGGTTGGACATTTTGCATGTCTCAAAGCACGATTCTTGGATTCTATATGGGTGGTATATTTTCCGAACAAGACAAGTCCATTTATAGCCTCTTGCAGGAGTAGTCTGGAGGATAAGAGGGTGGCACCGCGAGCGTGGCTTTGGGCCTTGTGAGATGTTGGCTTCTTGATAAGACAGTCAGCTGGCACGAATCTCGCTACGCCAACACAGACACTGTTGCTCCCTCGTACGACTCAGAGAAGCCGTTGGCCAATGAAGAGACTCGTTGTCCAGATATCGAGCCCCCCGGTTGCGTGTGATATCTGGCCCTGCTGGGAAATCTGTGCGTCCAGGAAGATAACCGCTGATGATGATGGTGAAAGATTTGTGATGGTCGCAGACGCCACGCATGTGCATGACTGAGAAGCCATGATCCTGGGCAATGGCCTGGTTTCCAGTTCTTCTTTGGTACGACTACTTCCTCCTCTCCTTCTATCATCACCACCTCTTCACCTCCGCCTCACTCATGGTCTTCGAAGTCAGGGCCCGAGATATTCGAGTCGTCAGCAAAAGTGTCGACATTAACGACTCCTCCAGATCTTCAAGTGTGAGAGAAGAGACGACTTATCGCCGCTGGAAATGACAATACGCATCGTGAAGAGCTCAATTGGGGCCAAAAGGAGGAAGACACATGGGACAGGGACGAGAGGACAACCGGGTCTACTCAGTCAAGTGGATGCTCTATATTTCTCAAGCACCGACGATGTGTATCTACTTCGACCGAAGGACTCGCTGAATGTCACAGGCACAATTGTCACTGGCTTGTCGAGAATACTGTGTCCCAGCAGCTCCGGCCCTCAGACCAGCTCACGCCCACTCAATACAGTCTTGAAAAAGGAAACTCGTGTCCCGTCCGTCGTTGCTCAGAATAATCCTTCTGCAGTGCCTTGGACCCTCCCACTGTCCATCTACAGCTTGGGCTTCTTGCGGTATTTCGAAATCAAGTCGTCGCTGAACAGGTGGTTTTCACCGCCCAGCATGCCAGCAGTCACCATTTCATCGTCAACAAGCTCTCGCAGCATCGAGTCCAGAAAGCTCCTCTGCTCCCTGATGAATGCCTTGGTAGCCTGGGTGTCGAAGCGACGAGCGCGCTTGCCGTCCCTGATTTCCTTCAAGTGTGCTCGAACACGCTCCTCCAACATCTCGAATCGATATTCGGCATACTGTGAGTAGAGCTCCCTGAGGTCGGAGATGGGGCGCACCGTGGTAAGTACCGTGTCGTCCTTGATGAATGCCGACTTGGGCCGGAACGAGGTCACCATGGAGATGCGTTCCGCGGTACCCAACGCACGCAAGGCTTGGTGCTCGATGTAGCGACCTTGAAGGACGATGGCATTGCCCTGCATCATGGTGAGTCGACGTCATGGCGATAGGATGGCCCGTTTGGTGACTTACCATTGCAGGACCACGGACTTTCATGATCTCTCCGGTACCCGTCCTCAATGCCGTCTCACCGCCAATCATGTTGGTGCAATCACTGAGCATCGTCACGCAAACAAAGGGATAGCTGTCGGTGTGCCAGTCGACGATGGGTTGATCGTCTTCATACGGACATCCCGAAACGCCTTCGTCGGCTTCTCGATGAGATTTCTCCTCCAAAGCCTGTTTGACTGCTTCTATTTGTTCCGTGGTGTTGCGGGAAATGTTGATATGAGCAATCTCAAGGTCCATGGCGGGGACCAGTTCGACACCGGCGATCTTGGACACAATCGAGAGGACCGCGGGGCTTCGCCAGGCATCATATACAAATGGCGCATACCTATTTTCATTCATCAGCACGACGTCCAGAGACGATGCTCAAGGATGAACTCACTCGGGGGCAAATCCTCGCAGCTGACAGTGGGCAAGTTCGCTGGAGTACTTGCAGTTGTCCCAAACTGGCTTGCTGAGGACTTCGGCTCTCATCTGCTGAATGGCCTCCTCTGTGAAAAGGGGGAAAGGCTCTGAAACAGCGTTCGGCGAGACACCCTGTTCATCGAATCCAATCTCCTTCATGGTCCAGACCTTGCTTGGGGGCTGATAGTTGAGATGCTTCTCTGGGTCGAAGGTGGGTCCTTTCGGGGTTTTGGGTGCCATGTTGCTGAGGTGCGAGCTTGATCTCTTTCTCTTCACGGTGCCAAAAGCGGATGATTCAGGAGCAAGAACGTCTGCTGAAGCCATTGCGCTTGATATCGATTATATACTTTGGAAAAGGACTAGCAACAAAGCAGGGACGTGTGTTGACGACTGTACAGTGCTCACGGGACAAGCAAAGGAACCAGATGGTTGCTATCCGTCAACAAAAGACAAAGGTCAACAAACGGTTGAGGATCGTGGGGGCGTTTGTATGGTCAAACAAGTGACAAAACTTATACCAAAGCCCCTTTAAGTCACTCTCCAGCAAACGTCACCCTTCCTAGGTAAGGTGAATGTGGCTCCACGCAGCGTCGAAGAGACCAGACCGCACGTCAGATGCTACTGTGAGTCCGGATGAGGGTTGAATAGAGGAAATCCTTCATACAGTCGATTACTAGCCCATGGAATCAGAATCAGAAACTGCAGGCAGGTACAGAAATGAACACTCCACCAGATAGGGGGATGACGGAAAGACACCGTTCTGGATTGTGAGAAGCAAGACATCCAACTGCAGGTCAACAACTGTCCGCGGCGTCACAATTCGCTCACAAGTTGGCCGTCTTATCAGCCGGCCAACTGCCCTTATCACCTATCTGCCTATCGGGGAAGGCTTGACCTTGACTTGCTCAACATGTGTGGACGGTGGATGGCTCATGGGAGCCAGGCTATTGAAAGGCGCCCTCTGGCGAAAGCTGGGGCATGATGTCTGCGAAAGAGGTTGTGGAGACCTTCAGAACGCCATCACCACATATGACAGCTCATCTTTCTGATGGATGGAAATTGTTGCTTTGTTTGGATTAAAATCACTGCCCATTGCCCGCTCCATTTCTCTCCTGCGCGCTCGGTGACGGTCCTGAATCCTGTCGACTTTCACATGTGTGGACGTACAGCTGTCGATTTTTCTGCCCGGCCACACCGAGGCGACTGCGGATGTTCCTCCGCCCAACGGTGCTGGGAACGGTGTGAGCAGACAATGCATATGACATGTTTACATCACCTGGCTACGTGTTTCGTGGATCACGAAGGGGAAGAAGACGGCGGGTAGGTGTCAATTTAAGGGACCATAGCCGCCAATATGTCTGGTGAGGCAGCCCAGTTTTATGTCGGTGTGACTCGTGAACCTCCCTGAAAGGGTTCCCATTATTCATGCCGCAGCCAACAGTACACGAAGGGGGTTCCGACAATGCATCATCGCTTGTTGAACTCGATGGTTGTGGACAACCCCGCCGTAAGGTGGTGGATGGATCTGTTGACCAGAAATGGCATCGTGCCGGGATGGGCATCCAGCGGTGTTTGGGACCTGTTTGGCCAGTCAAGAAGTGTCCACTTCCGAGAGCTATCCTTGATCTTGAACACATCCCTGCTGATCATTGTGGTGGTGGTTCTAGATTACAGGATCCAGCCATCACGAGGAATCGAGGTCCAGCAGTGTTGGTTGCACGTCGATATCGTTTGGTCGAGCGATCGACGTCAAAATGTCCTTTGTTCTTGTGTTCAACATTGGCGCAGACGGCGAACCAGGGGTGGATGGAAAGGAGCCATCCGGGGCAGTGAGGGCGTTTCTCCCTTCCGAATCCGGTACTGTTCGAACAAGGAGCTGGTACAGGTCCGTCGTCACATTTGGCGATGAGCAGCGATGTTGTTCGTTGACGAGGCAATGGTCAGCCCGAGAAGGATGAGATTCGAGCCGAGGAGAGGTTCATCTCCCATCTCAACGACCCACACATAGGTTGAAGAACGAAGGATGGGGACACTGGCTCGTAAAGGAAAGAGGCTCACTGAAGCTGGCGGACAAGTGAGCGCAAGCAGCATGCGGCTGGCTGGCGATAGACTGCGCTTGAAGGGTGGAGGGGTAAAAAATAAAATATGTTTGAGGGGATGCCTTATCGATAACGCCGCCCGGCAAGAGCTTCCCTGTTCAGGGGAACAAGGTTAGTGTCGCCTGTGCCTCACTAAGGCCGTCAGCCCAGTTGGTGGCACAAGAGTCGCAGGCTCGCAGCCATCAGTGACCGCCGCTTTGCACCCAAAGAGAAGTAAAAACTGCACCGAGCTCACGTGCGACTCACCAGGCCGTGCTGTGACCCAATAGAGGAACATGATGAATTCTACAGGGTCCTGGGGCCCGTCTAACTATATACGTTCGAATAATTAACAAAGGGGTCTCGGCGCTAGTAACACTAGCGCGAACAGTCAATACATCTCTCTCGGCAGTCTGCCAGTCACACAAATAAAACTGACTCTCCCCTCAATTTGTTTGTTGTTTCTTTCTCTATCCTGGACCTTCAATTGCTGTCATCATGGCGCCGGTCTGCAAGTTCTTCTTGCTCAACAAATGTGCTCGTGGCAGTCAATGCAACTTCGAGCATACCTTAAGGAACGATCCTAAGTGAGCCTTATCTACCTATACCCAATTAGGTACTCCGAGTCCTCCGAACAGAGCGGTTGCGGAATGGCAAAAGAAGTTCTGTTCGGCTTGCCACGTAGGTATTCTGAACTCGAGCTGTATTATCATGATTGATATTAGAATTAGTATAGTAATGTGAGAATGACCCAGGGTGATACATACTTTACAGAGATCATAGTAAGAAGGTCTTGACGCATAGCTGCCATGTCTTGACGTATAGCTGCGAGCTCTTGACGAGTAGCTGCGCCATCTTGTTGAATAGCTGCGATGGCTTGTTGAGTAGCTGCGCTATCTTGACGAATAGCTGCAATGGCTTGTTGAGTAGCTGCGCCTTCTTGACGAAGAGCTCGTAGCTCAGCTAGAATTTCTTGACCGTCGCGGATTCCTGGTAGATTTTGTGCTTTTTTGATGTCATCACCAATGAGATTAAAATCTGGCTGCGGACCGAGAGGGTTTTGGTTCGCCATCGTCGCGGCGGCGGCGGTGGTAGTGGTGGTAGTAGTAGTAGTGGTGGTGGTAGTAGTAGTAGTGGTGGTGGTAGTAGTAGTAGTGGTGGTGGTAGTAGTGGTGGTGGTAGTAGTAGTAGTGGTGGTGGT